TGGTCCGTTTACGCCTCGCGCACGCCGCCGGGGAAGAGGAGGACGACTTCGCCCGCGGCGAGGAGGTTGTAGAAGTTCTTCCCGCTGACGGGGACCGCGCCGAAGGTGGTGAACGCGCTGAGGCCGCCGCCGGGGCCGCCGCCGCCGCCGCCCTCACCGAACGGACCGGTCGCGTTCGCGGCCGGGGGCGGCGTCGGCGCCGCCGCCGCCGCCGCGGACTCGCCGCGGAGGAACCCCTCGAATAAAACCTGAGGGTCGTTCCATACAAAGCGATGTCGGGGTGGAGTTGAAAGGCGTCAGTTGAAGTTGAAAGGCGTCGAGGGCGGGTATTGAAAGCGAGGTGTGTGCGGAGAGACACGACGGCAAAAGTCCTTAAGGATCGGCGTTCACCTCGCCGACGGGGTCGTATGGGAACCAGTGTATAGAACGCACCTGAAGATCGGGCGGCTCCGGGAAACTCGGGAACCCTCCGACGTCGCCGTCGCGGTCGCGGTCGCGGTCGCGGTCGCGGTCGCCCTCCTCCTCATTCTTCTCCGCGCCCGCGCCGCCGCCGCCGCCGTCGACCCCCGCCATCCGGCTCGCCCCGCCCCCCGCCACCACCGGGTGCGCGAGCCCTCGAATCAACACGTTCCGCTCGGTGATGAACTCCTGGACGAGGAATCCCAAATCCGGCGCGAGCGTCTGGTGGTTCCCGACGAGCAGCACCGGCCTCCCTTCGCCGCTCCGCGCGTCCCCGAGCGGGACCGCGTCGAGCCCGGGGACGACGACGCCGTCCGCGCGCGTGCTGAAGAACACCGGGCTGACGACTTTGCGAAGAAACGACAGCGACTCGAACGCGCGCTCGAGCTCCGCCGGCGACGGCGGCGCGAACGCCGCGTCTCGGCTCAGCGCCGGGGGATCGTCCGCCGTCCGCGGCAAGAACGCGTTCCTCTTCAGTAGCCCGACGAGGTCGACGCCTTGCTCTTGAAGCGCCGCGTGCGACGCGCCGTCGAGCACCTCGATCGCGCACTTGGGCATGGCGCGTCTATACGAGCGAACGTCGGGGTGGAGTTGAAAGGCGTCAGTGGCGGAGTTGAAAGGCGCCGAGGTGTGTCGGGATTGAAAGCGAGGGACCCTGGGCGGAGAGAATCGCCCGACTTCAAAGTCATTAAGGATCGGCGTTCACCACGCGAACGCGGTCGTATGGGGACCAGTGTGAAGGAGAACGCACCTCAACCGCGGCCCCTCCTCGGCGGAGGGAATCAACGCGTCCGCGCTCGAGACGATCGCCAGCGTCGGGACGTTTATCTTCTCGAGCACCCCCGGCGCGTTGACCGCCGCGCACCCGTCCGCGAGGACCGCGAGTCTGTGCGCGAGCGTGTCGCGCGGGATGATGTTCGACAGCTGTCCGAGCGCGGGGAACAGCCGCGCGAGTTCCTCCGCGGCGGCGGCGAGCCCGACGACGGGGTCGCCCGTCGCCGCGGCGACCCCGCGCGCGCCCGGCGCGCCCGCCTCCGCGGCGGCGACCGCGGCGGCGACCGCGCCCTGAACCAACCGCGGTGGGTCGAACAGCACCGGCGCGAGCGCGTACGGCAGCCCGGCGTAGAGCTGCTCCGGGAGGTTCGGGAGGAGCGGCCCGACCGCGGGCCACGGCGACTTGTCGAACGACGACGCCGGGTTGACGAGGACCAGTCGATCGACGAGGTCCGGCCGTCGACTCGCGACGCCGAGCGAGAGCAGACCCCCCATGCTCTCGCCGATGAGGAACACCTTCGGGTCGTTTGTCGCGGCGGTGCGTTTGGCTTTGGCTTTGGATTTGGATTTGGATTTGGATTCCTCGTGCCCGTGCCCTCGCGCGGCGCGTTCCGTCTCCAGAAAGTCGCAGATGAGCGCGACGAGCTCGTCGAACGTCGCGCGGTCGCCCACGGGCACGTTCAGCGCGACGAGGTCGTAGTGCCGCGAGAGAGACTCGAACTGCGACGACGCCGCGAACCCGGTGCCGTCGAGCCCCGGGACGTACAGCATCATCGGTCGCGAGGAGGAGGAGGAGGAGGACGACGACGACGACGACGACGACGACGGCACGATCGGCGAGAAGAACCGCGGCGGTCCGCCCGAGCTGACCGCGAGGAGATCGTCCAGCGTGACGCCGTCGCTCTCCCCCGCGCCCTGTCGCGCGATGGAGTCCATGAACGTGTTCTCCCCGACGCCGTTCGGGAGGTTCGGCGGCGGCGGCGGCGCGCGGCTCGCGGGCGACGGCGGCGAGCGGCTCGCGGCCGACGCGGCGACCGATCTCGCGTCGGCACTCGTCGTCGCGACGCGCCCGCGGGGACGGCGCGCGGCGGCGGCGGCGCGGCCGCGCGTCGACGGCGCGCACGAGCGCGGCGCGGCGGCGGCGCGAGCCGCGGCGGGAGAAGAGCGCGCGATGCCCGCGGCGCTCATGGCGCGACGACGGCGAGCGCGGGAGTGGCGACGTCGCGACGACGAGACGCGAGAAGCACGAACCGGCGCCACGTCGACACAGATCTCGATCGAGCGCTCGCGCTCTTTGCTGCTCCTTCTTCGAGACACTGCACGCGCTTCGCGCCAGCGGACTCGACCTCGGAAAAAGCAAACGGGCTCACGGCAGCGGTCAGATCGCCGCGCGCGCCCCTCCTTCTCCTCCCCCTCCTCCGCGCGCGGGATGGGCAAAGCGAAGTTCTACGGCGTCGCCGTCGGGCGCGTCCCCGGCGTGTACGCGTCGTGGGACGACGCGCGCACGCAGGTCGACGCGTTCAAGGGCGCGAAGCACAAGAGCTTCTCGACCGCGTCGGACGCCGAACGTTGGCTCGCGGAGCAGGGCGTCGCCGCCGCCGCCGCCGCCGCCGCCGCCGCCGCGCCGACGACGACGTCGCCTTGGCTCGCGGAGCAGGGCGTCGCCGCCGCCGCCGCCGCCGCCGCCGCCGCCGCGCCGACGACGACGTCGCCGACGGAGGCGAGCGCGCGAGACCGCGCGACGGCGTCGATCGCCGCCCTTCACGGCGCGCGCGCGACCATGTCCAGTCGCGCGAGCGGCGCGGACGCGGACGACGCGGACGACGCGGACGACGCCGCGCCGTCCTCCTCCGCGTTCGCCGCCGATCTCTCCGCCGCGGGGTCGTTCACGCTCTTCTTCGACGGCGCGTCTCGAGGCAACCCCGGCGCCGCCGGCGCGGGCGCGGTCATCCGCCACGACGCCACCGGCGCGATCGTCTTCGAGGTCGCGGAGTTCCTCGGCCGCGACGTGACGAACAACGAGGCGGAGTACGTCTCGCTGCTCCGCGGCCTCGAGGGCGCGCGTCGGCTGAAGATTAACACGCTCGACGTCAAAGGCGACAGCAAGCTCGTGGTGCACCAGGTGAACGGGGAGTGGAAGGTGAAGACCCCGCGCCTCGCGCGGTACTGGGAGGCGGTGGACGCGGTGAAGCGAGGCGCTTTTAACGGCGGGTTGACGGTGGCGCACGTCCCGAGGGAGGAGAACGCGGACGCCGACGCGCTCGCCAACGCGGGCATCACCGTCGGCTCGAGCTTCGGCGTCGGCGTGAACGTGAAGGACGCCGCGAACGCGGCGCGGCGGTTGGACGGCATCGGCGGCGGGGGCGGCGGTGTTTTTGGTTTTGGTGGCGGCGGGGGCGGGGGCTCCTCCGTCGCCGCGGGGGCGACGCCGCTGGGGCGCGGCCGCGGCCGCGCGTCGCCGCGCGGCGGCCGGGTCGCGTCGGGAGGGTCCTCCTTCGGCGGGTTCACCACCGCCGCCGGGGCGGCGTCGGGAGTCAAACGGCCGGGCGGGAGCGGCGGCGGCGCCGTCGCCGCCGCGCCGTCGCCGCGCCGCGTGAAGGTGGCCGGCGCGGCGGGGAGAGGCGGCGGCGTCGCGGCGGCGATCGACGACGACGACGACGACGACGACGACGCGGCGAGGCCGACGCCGACGCGCGCGCCTCGCGCGGCGCGCCCGGGCGGGACGTTCGCGTCGATGACGATGTCGGGGATCGGCGCGTCGCTCCCGGGGGCGCGGTGGGCGGCGTCGAGCCCGGCCGCCGCCGGTCGGATCGCCGTCGCGCCCGCGTCGTCGCGACCGGCCGCCGCCATCGCGCGCGTCGGCGCGCGGATGCTCCGCGCGGCGAGGATGTTTCGATAGGAAACGTCGGGTGACCTTCTCTTCTACTAGCGGTTATCATTACGGTTCTAACGAATATATAGATAGTCTACTACGATGCTCCGCGTGACGTGTCTAACGCGCGGCCGACGACCGCCCGTCACGCCGCGAGCGCGAACGCTTTGAGCGCCGCTCGAAACTCCTTGCTGAACGGCACGCCGTGCCCGCCGTCGTGCTCGAACGTCTCCGGCTCCGGCGTTCGAAACGCGGAGCGGAGTTCTTCGAACCGTTCCCTCGACACCATCCCGTCCGCGGTGCCCCACACGTGCAGCGACCGAACCCCGCGCAGGGTATCGCCGCCGCCGCCGCCGCCGCCGCCGCCGTCGTCTCGCGGACCGAACAGCGCGGCGGACGCGGTCGGATCCAACGGCGCGAACCCGCTGAAGAGAATCGCGAACGCGACCGTCTCGCGCAGCGACGGCACGAGCGCGAGCGCGAGCGCCGCCGCGGACGCGCCCTGCGAGAACCCCAGCACGCCGTCGAACGGGCCGAGGGTTCGCACGGCGTCCGCGATGCGCGTCGCGGTGGCGTCCCAGCCGCGCATCTGTCTCGACATCGCCGGTCGCGTCGGCGGCGTCGGCGGCTTCGCTTCGTTCTCGTCGGCGTCGGCGACCTCGTCCTCGTCGCGCGCCTCCGACGACGCGGCCGCGAGCGCGTCCTCGACCGCGTTCTCGCCGACGAGCCACCACGCCCTCGGCCCGACGTCGTTCTCGCTCTCCCCCGTCGCGGCGGCGCCCAGCGACGACGCGTCGCTCTCGCCGAACGCGCCGGACGCGTCGTGCGGCGCGTCCACGAAGACGAAATCGATCCTGCTCTTCAGCTGCTTTCGTATCGACCCGGTCCGCATCCGGAACGTCTCCGCGTTCTGCGTGAACCCGTGCAGGCACAGGACCTTGAGCTTTCGCGGCGGCGGCGGCGAGCTCGGGGGTGGGCCGCCCATGGTGGACGGCCGGGGGCGGGCGTTCGCGCCGGCGGCGCTGACGCGCACGTCGTCGCGTCCGATGACGTTTTACAAATCTCGCCGCGGCGCAGCGCAGCGCGCGCGGAAACCTAAAGTTAACATCGATCCAGTCCCGCGAACCGTCACTCGTCGCGGCACCCGCGCGTCATGGCGTGCGTCGCCGCGGTGCGCCGCGACCTCCCGTCGTGCGAGACCGTGCCTCGCGTGCACGCGAGAGACCTCACCGCGGAGGAGTTCGCGCGGCGGTTCATGCGCCCCAACCTCCCCGTCCTCATCGCCGGCCTCACGGAAGATTGGAAGTCGCGCGATCAGTGGGTGACGACGACGGACAGAGCGGACATGGACGCCATGACCGCCGCGTTCGGGGACGCGGACGTCCTCGTCGTGGACTGCGACGAGCCCATGGACACGGACCTGGGACGCGCGGAGGTGAAGTTCCGCGACTTCGCGCGATGGTGGCGGTCGTCCCGACGCGGCGGCGTCGGCGACGAGAAATCTGATGAGAAGGACGGCGACGACGGCGACGGCAGCGACGACGACGCGCGCGATGTGCACGATGCGCGGCGTCTGTACCTGAAGGACTGGACGTTCGCGAGCGACTTCCCGGAGTACGGCGCGTACGAGACGCCGTCGCACTTCGAGGACGACTGGCTGAACGCGTATTGGGAGCGTCGCGGCGCCGACGCCGACGCCGCCGCCGCCGACGCCGAGCGCGCGGAATCGTCGCGCCGCGGCGGGACGCACAAGTTCGTCTACGCCGGCGTGAAGGGCACGACGACGCCGCTGCACGCGGACGTGATGCGATCGTTCTCGTGGTCGGTCAACGTCGTCGGCGAGAAGGAGTGGCTCCTCGTCCCGCCGTCGCGGTCCGAGGTGCGTTCTGTTATCACACTGGTCCCCATACGACCGCGTCGGCGTGGTGAACGCCGATCCTTAAGGACTTTCGTCGGCGCATCTCTTCGCCCAGGGTCCATCGCTTTCAATCCCCGCCCTCGACGCCTTTCTACTCCGCTTCTGACGCCTTTCAACTTCATCCCGACGTCGACAGCATCTCTTCTCCGACGACGGTCGACGCCGGCTCCCCGCCGACCTCCGCGCCGCGATGCGGCTCGACCCCTCCGACCCGTCGAACGCGCACCCTACCGCGCGCGACGCGAGGCCGCTGACCGTGCGCCAGCTCCCCGGCGACGCGCTGTTCGTCCCGAGCTTGTGGTATCACCAGGTGGAGAACGCGACGGATTGCGTCTCGATCAATCACAACTGGTTCAACGCGTCGAACGCGCGCACGTGCTGGGCCGCGCTGAAGGACGAGGTGACCGCGGTGAGAGACGGGCTGAGCGACGAGGACGATCGCGCGGACGGGGTGCTGGTGCAGGATCTGGTGCGGAGGAGGGCTGGCGTGGACGTCGTGGGGTTCGCGGGGATGGTGTCGGACGCGGCGGGGCGGTTCGCGCGGCGGCTGACGCGCGCGGCGCGAGAGGAGGAGGAGGAGGGTGCCGAGGAGGGTGCCGAGGAGGGTGCCGAGGAGGGTGCCGAGGGCGGCGATAGGAAGCGGCGGCGGCGGTGCGAAGAAGATGAAGCGGCGAAGAAGATGAACCGGCGCGCGGAGTACGACGTCCGGAGCCTCTCGGTCGCGGTGGACGTGCTGAAAGAGATTCTGTCGTCGGACGACGCCGACGCCGACGCCGACGCCGACGCCGACGCGTCGGGCGGGTTCGGCGCCGTCGCCGTGAGCATGTGGGAAGGCCGCGAGGAGGAGTTGCTCGAGACCCAGGCGGCCGTGGACGACGGCGAGGAGACGCTCTCGAGGCTGGGTAAGCGGAGCGGCGCCGGAGCCGCGGACGCCGTAGCGGCGAGGTAACAAAACGATTTTTCGCTGTTCCCGTTCTCGCGCGTCTGAACAGATTTCTCAAACGGAGCCGCGCCTTTCATCACTTCTCGCGTCGCGGACCATGCCGCCCGCGCGCCCGCGCGTGAAGACGGTCGAGACGATCGACGACGTCGACGGCCTCGAGGAGGACGCCGCGCGGACGCTGTCCCGGCGGCTGTGGTACCTCGGATGGTGCGGCCTCCCGCTCTTGTGGGCGATGAACGCGTACCTGTTTTACCCGCACGTTCGTCGCGATGACGACGACGCGGGCGCGCGCGCGCGACATCATCTCGACGTCGACGGCGAGGGATCCTCCGAGGGGTCGTCATCGGAGGAGGAGGAGGAGGAGGAGGAGGAGGAGGACGCGCCGCGGCGCGCGAGGGCGGTCGCGGTGAAGGACGTCGTCGTCGCGCGGTACGCGGGTCTGTCGCTCGCGGGCGCGAAGGTGGCGGGGGGGATTTTGCTCGCGTGGGCCGCGACGTTCGCGCTGGGAGGATTCGAGAGGGCGTTCGGCGAGGAGCGATGGCGCGCGCTCGCGCTCAGCAGCTGGATCGAGATGTGATGACGATGAGGAGGATGAGGAGGAGGCGGAGGCGGAGGAACACGTCCACCGTAAGACGGGGAATAGCATAGCGTTAGAGCCGATTGACTTTGTTCACACGAAACGATCAGATGCGATGGAAGTAGTGCTCGACGCGAACGCGCGCCGCGGCCGTCGCCACTGACGAGCGCGCCGCGTCGCGTGGACGCTCGCGGGTGCTCGCTCGCGGGGCGTCGCGGCGCGGGAGACGGATAGACGCGTCGAGATGGACATGGAGGCGCTCTTCGCGGAGATGCGAAAGGCGCAGACCGGCGGGCGCGACTTCGCCGCGGAGGCGGCGGCGAAGCGCGAGAGAGAAGACGCAGACGCGGCGGCGGCGGCGAACGCCTCGGACGCCTCGGACGACTCGGACGACTCCGACGACGCCGACGACGCGATGCCGCCGCGCGGGATGTCCAAAGCCGACGAGGCGCGCCTCCTCCGCGTCTCCCAAGCCGGAAGAGCCGCCGTGTCCGCGTCGCGCCGACGCGGTCGCGGTCGCCACGACGACGACGACGACGACGACGACGACGATCGTCCGTCGCCCGCGCTCGAGGCCGCGCGCCATCGCGCGGTCGCCGCGCTCGCGTCCAAGTTCGAAGCGTCCTGCGCGCGCGTCCTCGGCGGGAGATGGTGGTCGCACTACGAGTCGTGGCTCTACGCGCGGAGGGCCGCGGCGGGAGCGCGCGACGGCGGCGGCGGCGGCGGCGACGCCGTCATCCCAGACCCGGAGCTCGCGAAGAGCGATCCGGAGCTGCGTCGCAAGCTCGTCGCCGCGGGGCTAAGCGCGTACGACGCCAACGGCGTCGGGATGGAGCTCGCGCGCGCGGCCGCGAGGGCGATCGCGCAGGTGGGGAACGAGAGCGCGGGCGCGGGGCATCGCAAGCCGGTGAAGCTGAGCGTGTTCGACGTCGGCGGCGGCGCGGGCCCGGACGACGAGCGGTACGCGCGCGGCGAACGCGCGGCGACGGCCAAGGCGAAGGCGAAGCTGACGTGCGGGAAGGTCAGCGTCGAGTGCAACGCGGCGCACCTCGAGAAACTCCGCGCGCTGCACAGGGCGTACGCGCGAAGAAGAGGAGGAGGGGGAGGGGGGAGGCGACGCGCTCGCGCTCGCTCCGCCGCCGACGACGAGAGAATCTTCCGCGAGGATGCCTTTTCGCTCCTCGCGCGGTACTCGTCTCTCCAGGGCGCGCACTACAAAGCCGGCGCGATGCAGGCTGCGCTGCCGCCCGCGATGTTCGACGCCCTGCGCGAGCACTTCGACGTCTCCATGGAGCTGTGCGCGAGCCCGTTCAACTGTCGATGGAGGCGGTACTGCGGCGCCGCGTTGGACGTGGACGCCGCGTTCGGCTCGCTCGGCTCGGGCGCGTTCTATTTCCACACTGGTCCCCGTACGACCGCGTTCGCGTGGTGAACGCCATTCCTTAAGGACTTTTTTTTACTGTCTCTTCGCTCGCCCCGCGCTTTCGACGCCCGCCCGGCGCGCCTCGACGCCTCGACGCCTCGAGACTGACGCGCCCCCGAACGCCGCCCGCCGCCCGCAGTCTTCGAGTTCACGCCGAGCGGAGGCTCGTTCGAGGTGAACCCGCCGTTCGACCCGGGGTTCGTCGAGCGGCTCGTCGCGCACTTGGAGAGCGTGTTGTCGCGCTCGGCGACGAGGACGACGGACGGCGACGACGACGACGACGACGACGACGACGACGACGCGGAGGCGCTGTCGTTTGTCGTCGTCGTGCCGTACTGGCCGGAAAAGCGCGCGTGGTTGCGGCTCGTCAACTCCGAGTTCGCGCGCAAAGTGTTGAAGCTCAGGGCGGGCGCGCACGGGTTCGTCGCGGGGGCGCAGCACCTGCGGCCGGATAAGGTGGTCCCGTCCGCGGCGGCGACGAGCGTCGTGTTTCTTCAGAACGACGCCGGCGCGAAGCGATGGCCGGTCACGAGCGAGAAGATCGACGCGGTCAAGGAGGGGTTCAGAGGCGGGCTGAAGGCGAGAGACGACGGCGGCGGCGACGATTCGGAATCCGACGCCGACGACGTCGAGAAGGCGAACCGTCGGGCGGCCGCGCGCGAGGCGCGAACCGACGCCGCCGCGGTCAAGTGGGACCCGGACGCGAGCTTGTTCTACGGCGTCGGCAGCGCGGCGCGGTGGGGCGACGGCGGCGCGGAGTGGGTCGTGAACGCCGCCGGCGACGCCGTGGAGGATCACTGGGTGGGGGACGACGGGGAGTCCGAGCCGGAGGAGAGCGACGGGGAGGAGGAGGAGGAGGAGGACGGTGGGGAGGTGGACTCGGACGAAGAGGAGGAGGAGGAGTCCGAGGAGGAGGAATCCGAGGAGGAGGAGGAGTCCGAGGAGGAGGAGTCCGAGGATTCGGAGGAAGAAGAGGACGGCTCGGAGGAGTCCTCGGAGGAGGAAATCGCGGACTTTCCGCGAAAGAAGCAACGCACGTGATGAAACGTAGTCGTGTGTGTTCCACGGTGTAGGAGCCGTGTGCGATCGTCTTCGATGCATTCTTTGCTGTCGTATTCGCAGATGTCAGTCTTCGCCGTCGCTTTCGGCGTCGCGGTGTTCAAAAAAAAAGCCATCAAAAAAAGTCTTATTGGAGGAACCGAGAAACTCGGGAGGAACTCCGTCGAGGTGCCGCGGTCAGTCCACGGCGCCCACCGCACGGAGGGACGCTTCGCCCTCCACCCCCGCGCCCGTCGCCATGTCGAGCGCGTGGCGGAACATCCAGGACGAGAGCGACGAGGAGGACGACTTCCGAACCGAGGTGCGACGCGAACGACGCGCGATCTAGGCACCCGAGTCCGAATCATCTGGGCACCGCCCGAACACGTCTCACGTCGCGCGTCGTCCGTCCGTTCCTCTCCCCCAGGCCGACCGCGAATCCCTCGTGTTCGTCGTCGACGCGTCCATCGCGATGCTCGACCCCGCGCCCGCGAGCGTCGCCGGCCTCGGCGACGCCCCGAGCGCGTCGAAGAGATCCTACCTCGACCTCGCCATCGACTGCGCGCAAGCCGTCCTCCGCTCGCGCATCGTCTCCGCGCCGTCGGACAAGCAGGCGGTCGTGTTCTTCAACACGCGCGAGAAGAGAGGCGTGGACGACGCGCTCAACGGTGCCGGCGGCCGCGACGGCGTGTACGTCGCGCAGAGGATGGACGTCCCGAGCGCGCGGCGGATCCAGGACCTGGCGGATCTTCTCGGCCGACGCGGGCGCGAGACGTTCGCGCGCGAGATCGGATCCGCGCCTGAGGTGCGTTCTATACACTAGTCCCCATACGAGCCCGTTCGCGAGGTGGACGCCGATCCTTAAGGACTTTGCCCGGCGCATCTCTCCGCCCACCCCTCGCTTTCAATCCCCGCCCTCGGCGCCTTTCAACTCCAACCGACGCCTTTCAACTCCACCCCGACGTTCGCTTGTATAGAACGGCCCTGAAAACGAAACCGCGCCCGACCGCCACTACGACGCGCTCCTCAAGGCGCACCACGCCGCGAGGGAGATGCTGTGCGACCACGGCCCGGGCGCGCGCGTGAGCAAGAAGGTGTTGCTGTTCACGAACCGCGACGACCCGCTCGCGCCGGGCGAGGACGGTCGAGAGCTCGTCGCGCAGTGGCGGGAGTACCGGAACGTGCACGGCATCGACGTCGTGTTGCTGCCGCTGCCGAGGACGACGACGACGACGACGACGACGTTGAGAGAGGGGGGCGAGGGCGGCGGCGGCGGCGACGACGACGACGACGACGCGGGAGGAGGAGGACGTCGCGAGTTCGCCGAGTTTGACCCGTCGACGTTTTATCGCCGGTTGCTGACGTGCGCGGGGGACGAGCCGCCGCCGTCCGCGGCGCTGTCGCAGCCGCCGTCGTCGACCGCCGCGACGGCGACGGCGACGGCGACGGCGACGGCGCTGACGACGACGACGACGACGACGCGCGGGCACGAGCTCGTGACGTGCGCGTCGGACAGGATGCAATCCCTCGCCGTCTCGCTCGCGAAAAAGTCGCGCCGCCGCCGGAAAGTCCGGAGCGCCACGCTGCGATTCGGCGCCGGCGACGGCGAAGGCATCGCCGTCGCGTTGTACGCCCCCGCCGCGGAAGCGAAGAAGCCGAAAGCGATCCAGGTTCACTCGAGGGATCTCACGGAGCTCCACGCGGAGACGGTGTACTTGTCCGTGCTGCACGGCGACGAGGTCGCGCGCGCGGAGGCGAGCAAAAAGTGCGTCGAATACGGCGACGCCGCCGTCGCGCTGACGCCGAAAGATCTCTCCGACGCGAAGCGCGCGTGCGGCGCCGAGGGGATCCATCTGTTCGGGTTCCGCGACCGCGACGTCCTCGAACGCTGGATGCAGCTGTCGCGGCCGGCGCGGTTGATGGTCCCGGAGGAGGAGACGACGCAAGCTGGCGCGACCGCCGCGTTCACCGCGCTCGTCGGAGCGATGGCGGAGAAGGGTAAAATCGCTCTCGCGGCGTACGCGCGAACGGACGACCGGTCCGCGGGCGTCCGGTGCGTCGCGCTCGCGCCCGCGCACGCGCGCGGAGAGCTCGTCGGGTTACACGTCGTGAGCCTGCCGTACCTGGACGACGTGAGGCACCCCGAGCGCGCGCACGCGACGCGCGGCGCGAGCGGCGGCGGCGGCGGCGGCGACGACGACGACGACGACGCGGCGGAGGGAGCCGCCGGCGCGACGCGCCTCCAAATCGCCGCCGCGGAACGCGCCGTGGAGGCGAACATGGTCCTCGCGTACGACCCACTAGACATCCCGAACCCGACGCTCGCGCGGCACTACCGCGCGCTCGAGCTCCAGGCGTTGGATAAGCCGTGGGACGCGGAGACGGAGAAGGGACTGGACAAGACGACGCCGCCGGACGCGGCGGCGTTGCTGGAGATCGACGGCATGGCGGACGACATGCGCGCGTTCAAGGACGCGGTGTACGGCCCGCGGCACGACGAGGAGGTCGCCGCGCTGGGGGGCGGGCCGGGGGGGGCGAGCGGCGCTAGAAGAGGAGGCGGCGCCGGCGGCGGGACGAAACGCAAGGCGGCGGCGATCGGGGGCGGTCTGCTGGCCGCCGCCGCCGGGTTGGCGGCGACGGACGTGAAGGGGTTGGCGGAGAGAGGCGAGCTCGAGACGCTCACCGCGGCGCTGTTGAAGGAGTACTGCGCCGCGAACGGGCTGCCGGTGGGTGGCGTGAAGGCTGTCCTGGCCGCGCGCGTGCGCGAGCACGCGTTAGCTTGAGCGCGTACGTATCGCGCGACGACGACGACGATTCTCGAACGACTCTCGCGTCGTCGTTCAATTTCAATCAGATTCATCAGATGAATCGCCCGCCCCTCTCCCCCGTCCGAACGTCGTTCGTCTCCTCACGGCACCGCGGAGAACTCCACCTCCCGCGTCGCCGGCCGGTACACCGCGAACGACCCGTCGTCCGCGAAGCACCCCGGGTTCACGAGCTCCGTGTCCTCGAACTTCGCGAGCGCCTGCTGCTCCGTGCGGTCGCCCAACACGAGGCAGTGCGGCGCCGGGTACAGCCGCATCGCGTGGTCGTGCTCCCAGTACACGGGCAGCTGCGCGAGCGGCAGCGGCGCGAGGTGCGCTTGTTGCACGAGCGTCGCCGCGAGGTGGCGGAAGAGCGGCCGGCGCTCCCACTCGGACGGCTCGTCGTCGCCTTCGTCCGCGTCCGTCTCCGCGTCCATCTCGTCGTCGCGCGCCGCGTCGAACGCGGCGTCCGCGGCGGAACCTCCACCTCCCGCGGCGATATCCTTCTCCTTCGCTCTGATGTCCTTCCCTCGGACGTCGTCCAGCTCCGTCGGGGGCAAGATGCAGTTCCTTCGCATCCGCGATTGCAAATCTTCGCGCATGAACACCAGGTCTTGGCTCTTGTATCGGATCCGCGCCGGGTTGGACGCGAACGCGACGCGCGGCAACGCGTCGCGAAGCCTCCCCGTCAGACTCGGCAACAGCGGCGGCCGCGGCAGCGCCGCGGCGACGCCCGGGTCGCCCGGCCCCGGGACGAAGACCCATCGCGCCTCTTGTCGTAAACGCGGGAAGTCTTCGATCAACGTCGCGAGCTGATCGAACCCGGCGGCGTAGCCGCTGTAGTCGTACTTGGTGGGTCCGAACGGCTCCGACGTGAAGTCTCCCATGAAGACAAACATCCCGGGAATCGTCTCGAGCGAGTCGAACCCTTCGAACACGGTCCGCAGCCTCTTGAACGTCGCCTCCTTGTCCAGCCACACGTCCGCGAGGACGACGAACATGTCCTCCGACGCCGCCGCTTCATCTTCCGTGAGACGCGAAACGTCGCTCGGGGAGAGGCGTCCGGCGCCGAAAAAGTCGACGTGGTTGGTCGCCGAGCGCGTCTCCTCTCTCGACTCCGCGGGCGGGAACCCCAACGCCCTCACCTCGAACACGCCGTCGCGCTTCCTCACCTCGCCCTCCGCGACGACGATGCAGTTCTCCGTGTACAACCCGCTGCTCGTCGCCGCGTTCGTCACGTCCACTTGGATCTGCCCGGTGAGGTCCTCGAGGAAGAATCGATCGTCCTCGAGCTGCGAGAGGCATCCCATGACGTACCTCGTCTGGTGCGCGCACCCGAGCAGCCCGGTCAGAGGCGTGATCTCGCAGTACGTCCGCTCCGACGCGCGCGCGCCCGCGGCGAACGACGGCTTCGTGAACATCCGATGCCGCGCGAGTCGCTGCTGAAGGAGGAGGAATCGCTCGCGGTAGAGCTCGATCTTCGAATCCGCGCTCGTCGCGCAGACGGATCTCGCGCGCGGCCCCGCGGCGTCCTCGTGGAACACCTTCCTCTGCGTGTCGTACGTGAACCTCGGGACGTCGAACGCGTCCACGATCGTTATCCCGTCGGACGCGTCCAACATCGCGGCGAGGTGGTCTTCTCTCCTCGCGCTCGCGCTCGCGCCGCGTCCTCCTCCTCCGCCGTTCGCGTCGTCGTCGTTCAGATCGTCGTCGCCGGGCGAGCCCCCTCCCGCGGGCGTGGACGGGCCGCCGAAGACGCCGCGCTTGCGGTCCAACGCGGACGTGATGTCCGCGATGACGTCCGCGCCGACGATCGACGACGACAGCGACTTGGTGTCCAGCGCGTCGAGGACGTCCGTCAGCGCCGCGTTCGCGTCGTCGCTTCGGTCGAGGAAGGTCAGCACGGCGGCCATGGCGTCGCGTCGCAGCGAGAGCCCGGACATTCGGAACTCATCGTTCACGACGCCTTGGAGGTGCGACGCGGACATCGCGACGTCGTCTGGCTCGTCGACGTGCGCGGCGCTGGCGGCGTGCTCCGGCGTCGACGGGTCGGAAGCGCGCGCGTCTCTCTCTGCGCGACCGATCTGCTGGGCACGCGCGATTTGAATTATCTGATGATCATCTTCAAGCTGCGGCGACCGGGTGAAAACGCGTCCCTCGGTCAAGTTGACCCTCGGTGCCGATCAAACCGCCGATTCGGTCGGTCGAAACCGTGCGCGTTCTCCGGCGAGCTCAACTTCTTGCCGTTGCTCGACGACCTGTCGTTGTTACCGTCATCTCGCGACGCGCGACGCGGGGCCCGCCCGCCGCGATGCCGCCGCCGCGCCTGTCCGAGCCCCGCGCGCGCTCGCGCGTCGCGGCGCCGACGACGTCGACGACGTCCGCGGCCATAGTGGAGGCGGCGAAGACGATACGCGACGTCCTCGCGAGAGGCCTCGAGCCGCGCGTCCCCAAGCGCGATGCCGCGTCGTCGAAAGAGAACGCCGTCCCGACGCGCGGCGCGCCGCTGCTCGCAAAGTTCCGCGAGATGCAAGCGGACCGCGCGGAGCAAGACCGCGTCGTCGCCGCCCTCCGCGCGATGATCCTGAAGAACGCGTCCGCGGCGGGCGCGCCGACGACCGACGCCGCGATCGACGCGGAGGTGAACGCCGCGCTCTTCCCAGGCGTGCGCGTGGACGCGAACGACCCGTCGCGAACCATCGCGCCGGGCGCGTCTCGAGAGATGCTCATGCGCGAGGTCAGGCTCCTTCGCGCCGCGCGCGCGAAGGGCGCGGTGACGGAGATGACGGACGGCCCGAAGCGCTTGGGCGGCGGCGGCGAGTACGCCGCGCGCGCGGAGCTGCAGCGCGTCGCGAAGGCGTTGGAAGACATCGCCGTCGCCGCGTCGTTGGACGCGGACGTCGACGACGAGACGAAAGCCGCCGCCGCCGCCGCCGCGTCGAGGCGTCGCGCCGCCGGCGGCGGCGTCGCGGCGGGCGGCGCCGGGCGCAGGAAGTCCGTCCCAGGAGGACGCGCGCGGGCGCCGGTCGCGACGCCGCCGCCGCGAAGACATTCTTCGGGAGGACCCACGCCGCCGGGCTCCGAAGGCGCGCGAACGCCCACCGCGGGAACCGACGCTTTCAGCCACGGCGCGCTCGCGCTCGTGGAGGTCGAGGCGCGCCTGCGGAGGCAGCTCGAGTCGCAGTCCGCGAAACTCGAGGACGCGCAGCGACGGATGGACGAGGCGCGCGCCGCCGAATCGGAGCGCGAGGCGCGGGAATCGCGCGCGAGCGCGGACGCGGCGAAGCGCGCCGTCGAAGCCGCCGACGCGAGAGCGGCCGCGGCGGAGGCGCGAGCGAAGGACGCGCACGCGATCGCGGACGCGAAAGCGCGCGCCGCGGAGGCGGTCGCGGAGGCGAGAGCGAACGCGGCGGCGACGGAGGCGAAAGCCGCGGCGGCGGTGGCGGAGACGAACGCGAAGGCGAACGCGGAGATGGAGCTGTTGAAGCGTTCGGCGACGCTCGAACGCGCGGCGTCGCGACGCGCGTACGAAGAGATCTCTGCGTCGATGGCGATGACGCCGCGGTCGCCGATGCCGATGGGGTTTCCTCCCGCGACGCCCACGACGCCCGGCGCGGACTCCGCGACGTACTACGAACGCGGCGGCGGCGAGTTCGGAACGACGACGCCGTTCGCGGCCAAGGACGTCGTCGACGACGTCGTCGACGAACTCCGCGCGGAGATCGCGCGCGAAGTCGACAGGGAAGAGAAGAACGAGAAGCTCAAGCGCGAGCTCGACGCGCTGCACGAGAAGACCGTGATGGATTCGAAGCATCGCGACGCCGCGCTCGTCGCGCGCATGACGGCGACGATCGCCGACATCTCGCGATCGTCCGCGGACGCGCAAGTTAAGCGCACGCGCGCGGCGTTGGAGGAGGCGCTGAGCGAAAACCTGTCGGCGCACGCGGCGACCGCGGCGGAGAACGCGAAGAAACTCGAGGAGGACATCGCGGCGACGCGCGACGAAGCGCGGCGCGTCGCGGACAGGCTGGCGGCGATGGACGCGACGCAGCGGGACGCGTCTCTCGCGGCGACCGCCGCGGTGGGCGACGCGACCACCGCGGTGAAGGAGACGCGCGCGCTGCAGCGGAAGCTCGTCGCCGCGCAGATGGACGCTAAACTAGGGTGGCAAGAGGTGCAGAAGCTGCACCTCGCGAAGATGGAGCGGCTCGCCGGGAAGCTCGGTCGGTTGGACGAGCGAGAGCGCGACCTCGCGAACGAGCTCGCGGAGACTCGCGTGCGGTTGGAGGTGGAAACGCGCGAGCACGCGCGCGCGAGGGAAGCGATGGAGCGCGTCGCGATCGACCTCGAAGCGGAGCGCGCGGCGCGGCGAGACGCCGAATTAAGCGCCGCGAAGGCGGCGCACGCCGCCGCCAACGCGCGCGACGCGGCGACGCGCGAGATATCCAAGGCGCGCGAGGACGCGAGCCGCGCGGTTGCTCAGAACCGCGCGCGATTCGAGTCGTTCGCCGCGGGCGGCTCGATGACGCGCGCGGCCGCCGCGCAGGCGGCGATCATCGAATCGCTTCACGGGGAGCTCGCGGAGAGCGAGCGGCGGACGAGCAGCGTGGAGGCGGATCTGTTTGAGTCGATGCGACGGCTGCGAGGATACGCGGGGGATTTGTCCGCGGCGCGGTCGGAGCTCGTGATGTTACGCGCGGAGTTGGCGCGGCGACGCGCGGACGACGCGAGGAGGGCGAAGGCGCGCGGCGGCGGGAAAGGCGTCGGCGCGGCGTTCGAGCCGGGCGTCGCGCCGGACGACGAGACGGGCACGCCGCGCGGGGACGACGACGAAGACGACGTCGGAGCGGCGAGCGGCGGGGGCGCGTCCGCCGCGAACGCGATGGACGCGTCGCCGGACACGAAGAAGGCGATGGCGGCGAGCGAGGACGCGCGGCGGACGCTCGTGGAGCTCACGGGCGGCGCGGAGAGCGACTTTTACGACGAGCGATGACACCACGAAGGTTGGTGATCGTTTTTATAGGATATTCATCAGAACACGACGTGATAGCCCTACGCGACGCGCGCGCCCTTCTCTTCCTCCTCCCGCGCGCGCCGCGATCACCCTTGCTTCCCGAGCTCAAACTTCCGCATCATGTTCAGGGTGTTGTGCACGAACCCGTCCGCGATGCCGCAGACGCTGTACACCCCGCCGACGATCGCCATGAGCGTCGTGATGAAGTGATAAAACGGCTCTCTCTCCTCCGTCACGACCACCTGCACCGGGCTCGGGTTGAAGTGAAATTTCGCCCGCGGCAGCTCCCTCGTCGTCACCAACGCGTGCGAGTGCTGCGTGTACTCGTACGCGTGATACGCGACGTACGACCCCGCGGGCCGCAACGTCGTGAGCACCGTCTGAAGGTAGTGCTCGTGCGTCACGTTCGTCTGCAGGCTGCGGAACGTGACTCCGGCGAGCTTGTCGTGCCAGTTCGACGACGCCCCTCTCTCTCTCCCTCCTTCTCGCGTCGTCATCGCGAACGGATCCGGCGCCTGCGTCCCGCCCGCGTCGGCGGCTTTGTAACGCTCGAGCGCTTTCAGTTTATTCCGCCCGAGCTGGTTCCCGAAGAAGAGGTGGTTCACCGTGTGCGTCATGTTCATCTCCTCCGGGTGGAACGAGTGCGAGTTCGAGTTCGCGGTGATCCACACGTGTCCGGGGACTTTCTTCGCGAGAACGAATCCGGTGACGGAGCACCCCGGCCCTTTCACCGCGCGCACGCTCTCGTGCCGGAGCGCTTCCTCTCTGGTCACCACCGCGCGCGACTCCGTCTTGTCCGCCTCTTCGATCTTCCAGTCCGGGAGGAGGTGGAACGCGAACTCCGTGATCGCCTCCAACGTGCGGTCGCCGTGGTAGGACGCGTGGTCGTGCTGGTTCCCGATGGCGACGTCGTCGCTGCCTTCGGTGTAGACGCGAATCGTGGGATACCCGGTGACTTGTTCCCGCGTGCACAGGTTGAGATGCCGCGTGCAGTCCACCTTGGCGAGCACGACGCGATTTCTCGACCCTTTCGGATACTTCGAGTGCACCTTAATCCCCGCCGCCTCCCACGTCGGCTCTAACCGGCGGCACCACGGGCACCACGGCGCGTGGTAGTTCACGAGCAGCACCGTGGATGCCTTTTTGTGCTTCTCGAACGACCGCGGGTCGAGGTCGTGCACGGGCTCCGGGTGGGACGGATCTTCCGGCGTCCGCGCGACGAGCTCCTTGTGCGATCGCACGAGATCGACCGCGCCCGCGTGCTCGTCGTCGTCCGCGTGCCTCCCGTGCGCGTTCGGCCCGCGATCGCGATCCCACTCGATCGCGCCGAGCGGCGTGCCGTCGCGAGCGAGCGCGCGCTTGAAGACGGTCTTCGTGAGGTTGTACCGATTCAGTCCCATCGCGTCGCCCACGTCCACGCTCGCGAACTCGCACGACAGCGCGGGGAAAGACACGTTGAAGTTGATCTTCATCATGTCCCCGTCCAGGCTTCGGTCGACGACCACCTTGGTCTTCCACGTCGGCGTCGCGTAGCGTCCGATCTCGGAGACGAGGAGGAGCGCGATCAGCAGCGCGCTTCCGATGGAGATCACGCTCCCGGGGACGGTGCCCTCGGACATGTCACGCGGGATCTTGCGGTAAAAGTCCACGCTGCGCAGCTTCGCGCGAGAGAAGAGGCCCATGGTGGGTTTGGAGTGGGGAGACCGGCGAGGCGAGAGCGCGTCGCGAAGTGACGGCGGACGCGGCCGTCGCTTCGATGATGAACAAATTATTTTCTGGTCGGACAGCGTTGCTGCGGCCGCTCGACGACCGGCGCGGCGATCGATCCGTTTGTTTGACCGGCGGCGAGCTCGTTTTCAAGTTCTCCTTCCCCGCGTCAGTCGTCATTCTCGTCGCACGGTCTTCGAACCCGTCGTCGTCTCTCGTCTTCAAACTCACTCACCATGCGTGAAGTCATCTCCATCCACATCGGCCAGGCCGGTATCCAGACCGGTAACGCGTGCTGGGAGCTCTACTGCCTCGAGCACGGGATCCAGCCTGAGTACGTCCTCGCCCGGGATTTGATTTCTTCGCCGTTCAAACGGGAATGAAGCGTGTTCCCTTTTCGGATCTCCGGTTCTCGCCGCCGCGTCTCGCGCGGTGCGCGCCGTTCGGCCTCGTTCGCGGACAGTATCTTCACGCGCGCCGTCTCGCGTGAAATGTCCGCGCGTGGGGGCGAACGTCGTGTCGCGCGCGAGGCGCGCGCGCGGATTCCGTTTTCGTCCGTTGACCATTTTTTACGCTTCCGGGGGAAAAGCTTGAAATCCTCGTCGTCTCCATCTTGCTGACCTTCTTCGCGTTCTCTTTCTCTTCGACAGCGGCCAGATGCCCTCCGACAAGACCATCGGCGGCGGCGACGACGCCTTCAACACCTTCTTCTCCGAGACTGGCGCTGGCAAGCACGTCCCCCGCTGTGTCTTCCTCGATCTCGAGCCCACCGTGATCGACGAGGTCCGCACCGGCACGTACCGCCAGCTGTTCCACCCCGAGCAGCTCATCTCCGGCAAGGAGGACGCCGCGAACAACTTCGCCCGTGGTCACTACACCATCGGCAAGGAGATCGTCGACCTCTGCCTCGACCGCATCCGCAAGCTCGCGGACAACTGCACGGGTCTCCAGGGCTTCATGGTCTTCAACGCTGTCGGCGGTGGTACCGGCTCCGGTCTCGGTTCCCTCCTCCTCGAGCGCCTCTCCGTGGATTACGGCAAGAAGTCCAAGCTCGGCTTCACGGTGTACCCCTCCCCGCAGGTGTCCACCGCCGTCGTTGAGCCGTACAACTCCGTGCTCTCCACGCACTCGCTCCTCGAGCACACCGACGTCGCCGTCATGCTCGACAACGAGGCCATCTACGACATCTGCCGCCGGTCCCTCGACATCGAGCGCCCGACGTACACGAACCTTAACAGGCTCGTCGGCCAGGTCATCTCCTCCCTCACGGCGTCTCTCCGTTTCGACGGTGCGCTCAACGTCGACATCACGGAGTTCCAGACCAACCTCGTGCCGTACCCGCGCATCCACTTCATGCTTTCGTCGTACGCCCCCGTCATCTCGGCGGAGAAGGCGTACCACGAGCAGCTCTCCGTCGCGGAGATCACCAACTCCGCGTACGAGCCGGCGTCTATGATGGCCAAGTGCGATCCCCGCCACGGCAAGTACATGGCGTGCTGCCTCATGTACCGTGGCGACGTCGTCCCCAAGGACGTCAACGCCGCCGTCGCGACGATCAAGACCAAGCGTACGATTCAGTTCGTCGACTGGTGCCCGACCGGTTTCAAGTGCGGTATCAACTACCAGCCCCCGACCGTCGTTCCGGGTGGCGATCTCGCCAAGGTGCAGCGCGCCGTGTGCATGATCTCCAACTCCACCGCGATCGCGGAGGTGTTCTCCCGCCTCGACCACAAGTTCGACCTCATGTACGCCAAGCGTGCGTTCGTCCACTGGTACGTCGGCGAAGGTATGGAGGAGGGCGAGTTCTCCGAGGCCCGCGAGGATCTCGCCGCCCTCGAGAAGGATTACGAGGAGGTCGGCGCCGAGTCCGCTGAGGGCGACGGCGAGGAGGAGGCTGAGGAGTACTAAACAGCGCGCCAAACGCGCGAGCGCCCGAACGTAGTTTTTTTCCCGAAACGCTGCTTCGAGCGCCTCCGTTCGTACCCTTCACACGGTCGAACGAAAGGTCCCGCAGTTAGTGCGTGCATCGAACACCGCAGCCTAGGGTCTTCTCGACCGAGATATATTTGTAAGAGCGATGTCCCGTTGTTCTTAAACGAATCCGTCGTCGTGTTCCTCCCTCCCGCGGCGTCGACGCCAGTTTTGGCGCCCGCGCACCAGCCTCTGTTTCCCGCCACCGCGCGGACAACTCATCAGCACGCGTGAAGAAAATGTAATTGCCCGCCGTCGTCAAACGACGCCCGGCAGCGCCGCGGACGTAGCCGCACGATGCGCGTCCGCGTCGCGGGCCTCCCCCCCACGCTCGACCCCGGCGAGACCGAACCCCTCCCCGGGTCGTTCGACGCCGCGGTGACGCGATGGGGTCACGTCGCGTGGGCGGGCGAGAACGGCGTGTGCGTGTGGGGCGGCGCCCCCGGCGCGGACGGCAAGGAGGTCCTCGTCCTCGGCCGCGACGCCGCGCGACGGCGGACGCGGAAGCTCACGACGGGCGAGGCGCCGATCGCGAGGGAGGCGCACTCGGTCGCGCCCGTCACCCGAAACGCGTCCACCGCGCGCGTCATCTTCGGCGGCTTCGCGGAGGAGCGCGGCGGCGACGCGATCGGCGACGACGACGACGCGCGCCGCGCGTCGCACGGCCGCCCGCTGAACGACGCGCATCTCCTCGACGATAAGCTCGCGTGGCGCCGCCTGCGACCGAAGGGCGCGGAGCCGACGCCGAGAGGCGATCACGCCGCGGTCGCGATCGCGCACGACAAGGTGCTCGTGCACGGCGGATGCACGTCGCGCGGTCCGGGCTCGCCCGCGATTCTCCTAAACGATTGCCACGTCCTCACCGTCCAATGCCGCGGCGCCGCGTGGACGTCCTCGGTGAAGATCGAGTCGCGGTGGGACGCGATCGCGAACGCGACGGGCGCGAAGCCGTCGCCGCGGTCGAACCACACCGCCGTGCACGTCCCGGACGGCGACTTCGGCGACGACTTGGAGCGACGCCTCGGCGACGAAGCTTCCGGCGCGATGAGAATACCGGACGCGCGGCACGGCGGCGGCGTCGTCTACGTCTTCGGCGGGGCTGTGAACGTGAATAAAACGGACCGTTCGCGAGCGTTAGTGGACGTCAGCGACGACCTCTTCGCGTACGACGTCGACGACCGGCGGTGGAGCAAGCTCCGGAGGCCGTACGTCACGAGCGGGAAGAGCAAGAGGTGGCCGAGCGCGCGGTGCGGGCACAGCGCCGACGTGGTGCGCGCGTCGGCGCTCGGCGCGGCGGCCAGAGACGCCGGGTGGTCGTCGGACAGCCGCGTCATGCTCGTGTACGGCGGGATCGACGCGAAAGGAAACGCGCTGAACGATCTCTGGGCGCACTGCTTCGACGCGAAGGAGTGGGCGGAGGTTTCGCTGGGCCCCCGCGACGGCGCGGGCGCGCCGCCGCCGCGGTTTTTGCACACGGCGACGGCGTGCCACGGCGGCCGGTTCGTCGTCGTCGGCGGGATCGAGGCGCCGGGGGCGGCGAACGGCGCCGCGAGCTTAGCGAGCGAGTTCGAGGTGACGCTGGAGAGCGCGGGCGAGCCGTTCGAGCCGTTCGCGCTGGAGATTCCGCTGAGCGAGATGGAGGAGGAGGAGGACGCGGAGGAGGAGGAGGAGGAGGAGGAGGAGGAGGAAGAAAAAGAAGCGGAAGCCTCGCCCGCGCGCCCGGCGGCGGCGGCGGCGGCGAAACCGCCTAGCCGCGTCCCCGCGTCCCCGCGCGTGATCAAGAGCGCGGGGCCGCTGAAGAAGCGCGCGACCGCGACCGCGACCGCGACCGCCGCGGTCGTCCCCCCGAAACGCGAGCGCACGCCGCTGCCGGCGGCGCCGCCGCCGGCGCGCGACGAAGACGACGACGACTGCGAGACGACTGAAATTTTGGACGCCGCGACGCGAGGCAAGCAGGGGTCGACGCCGTCGCCCGAGGTCACCGCGCAGTTTGGCGCGTCGTCCGCGAAGGTGGAGAAGGGAGATGAGATCGTCCAGAGACTGAAGACGGTCGCGGAGCGGCCGCGGCAGCCCGAGGGAGCGGCGACGGCGAGACGAGGCCCCGCTACGGGAGAGCGGGGACGCTCGGATGAGGACGCGCCGTCGACGAAACGCGCCAAGGTGGCCTCCGACGACGACGACGACGACGCCGACGCCGTCGCCGATGAGGACGGCGATCGCGGCGGCCCCGACGGCGGGCGCGGCGGGCGAGGCGGCGGGCGAGGACGCGGACGAGGCAGAGGCCGCGGCCGCGGCAGAGGAAAACAGGAGGAGGAGGAGGAGGAGGAGGCGCCGCCGCGAAACTGGCGCGCCGCCGCGAGGACGGTTCCGGAGATCGCGCAGCCGGGCGTGCGCGTCGTGACCGACGCGGCGGACGCCGCCGCCGCTGACGACGACGACGACGACGACGACGACGACTCGAGCGAAGAAGACGCCGCCGCGCCGACGACGGCGGCGGCGGCGGCGGCGGCGAACCCGGCGACCGCGAGAGCCGCCGCGCACGCGGGCAGGGTGATCGCGGCGCCGGGTTTCCGAACCGTGAACGACGACGCGCCGAGCTCGGAGTCCGACTCCGAGTCGGACGGCGGCGGCGCGGGGGAAGACGACGACGACGACGACGACGACGACGACGACGACGACGGAGACGACGACGACGACGACGACGCGGAGATGGACGAGGGGTTCCGGCTGTCCCCGACCGCGGTGGAAGGCGCGGCGGTCGACGTGGGGCAAGCTGCCAACGGCGCCGGCGCTGGCGCCGCCGCCGGCCCGAGTAACAGTAAGAGCTCCGGCGCCGTGGGGCTCCGCGCCGCGGACGCCGCGGACGCCGCGCTCGTTCAAGTCGATACTGCGCCGCGCGACGCCGTGTCGGACGGCGGCGGCGGCGGCGGCGGCGGCGACGACGACGACGACCTGGAGCCCTTAAACACGTGGGCGGACGTCGGCAACGCCGCCGTCGGCGACGCCACCTCCCCCGCCGCGCCGGACGACGACGCGAACGCCGCGTTGGTCGCCGCCGCGTTGGCCGTCCCCGTTCCGAGCGACGGCCAATCCTTCCACCTGTTCAAGACGTGGCTGTCGATGACGCGCGACAGCGGCATCGAGGGCTTCGACGACGGATTCGTCCCGAGGAGCCAGCGCGAGTTTGAAGAACGCGTCTCGGCCGCGTGGGGGGTCATGACGGCGGAAAAGCGCGTGCACTGGTGCCATCACGCGAGGGACGTCCTCGCGCTCCACGCGAGGCGCGCGGCGGCGAGGTTGATCGCGGGCGGCGGCGCGGGATCGGGCGAGGCGCGCGCCGCGACGTCGAGGTCGAGGTCATCGGACGACGGCGACGGCGACGGCGCCGCGACGGCGACGGCGACGACGGACGCTATGGACGTCGACGACGACGACGACGAAACAGAGAACGCCACGTCATCAGACGACGACGACGTCGCGGTCGACGCGGTCGACGACGACGCGGACGCGGACTACGCCGCGAACCCGTACGGCGACGTGGAGCGGATAGGCGCGAGCATCGACCCGGGCACCGGCGTCGTCACCGGAGGGTTCGACGCGGGGTACTTCGTGCGGTGCGAAATCGGCGGCGAGCGGTTCCGCGGGATGCTTTTTTCTCCCGTGCTCACGACGCAGTGGCGGCGCGGGAGCGGCGGCGACGGTCGCGACCGGTCCACGCTCGTGCTTCCGTCGTACTGTTACCCGGGGTCGTTGGGGTTCGACGGCTCGATCGACGCGGTGGGGTTCACGAACGACGCCGGCGCCGCGGGAGCGGCGCCGGAGACGTGGCGCGTCACCTCGGACGGCGCGAACGTCCCCCCGTCCGCGGTGTACGCGGCGGCGGCGGCGGCGCGCGGGACCCGGGGCGAGAAAAAGGCGGCGCCCGAGGCGCCCGAGGCGAACGGCGGCGGCGCCGGCGGCGGCGGCGGCGAGCGCGCGCGACGGACGAAGTCGGAAGCCGCGGTCCAGGCGGCGCTCGCGAAGGCGCTCCGCGACGATGTGGACGCGAAGAGACGCCGCGAGACTCCCGTGAACGTCGATCTCGACCTGGACCTGGACATCGACGACGTGCCGATCGGGAAGCTCGGGGAGGTGACGGCGGCGGCGGCGGCGGCGGCGAAGCCGCGCGGCCGCGGCCGGCCGAAGGGCGCGACGAACAGGGAGAAAAAACCGGGGAAGTCGACGCCGGCGCCGACCGGGGCGCCGGAATGATCTGAGGAGACGAAACGAAAGAGTGCCTAGAGCAGACTGGAGCGAAGCTCCTGTCTGTAGACACCAGTCACCGTACGAACAGAACGTGCTCCCATCAAAATTAACGTGACACGGCACTAAAGTACGAAGGTACGAAAGTACTTTCGTACTTCGCGCGTGAACGCGCCTCCTCTGTTCACCGTTCGCCGCTAGACGCGCGCCACCCCATCGCATCCGTTTCTTCGTCCCCTCCTCCTCAGTGCGTCGGCGCGGACGTGTGCAACCGTCTCTGGTGCTTATTCCCCTCCCCCGCGGCGTGGTCGTCCGCGCCCTCCCCGCCCTCCCCGACTGTCATCGCGCGCGCGCGCTCCTGCAAATTCTTCACCCCGTCCGGCCCCTCCTCGTACTTGGTGTACTGCCCCACCTGCACGTTCGCCTCCCCGGTCCACCCGGCGCCGGTCCGCGCCTCCATTTTCGGGCCCTTCTCCGAGAGCTCCTTCACGAACCGGTCGCACGCGCGCACGAACACGGCGCGCAACGCGTCGAACACCGCGTCTTTGAACGGCACCTCTTGCTTCACGCCGAAGACGAAGTCGAAGTCGTCGTCGTCCACCGTGAAGTTCGTCTCCAGGAAGCCGTGTATCGGCATCCCGTCGCCCACCTTCCCGGCCCAGTCCAGCTTGATGTCGAAGTCGTACCCGCAGACTTTCTTCCCCTTGCGCACGTGCACCCAGCACTCGCCCGTGATGACTCTCTCCACTAGCTTCACGTCGAGGTCGAGCTCGATGTCCTCGTGCGCGATGCGATCGCGGACGACCGCCTTGTGCAGGAGCTCGCGCATTCGCTTCACGCCCCAGTCGTCGAGCTTCGTCTCGTCGAAGTGGAAGTTTTTGTGCTGCTGCGCGCTCGCGTCGGACGCGGCGGACGACGGCGCGGCGGACGCGGCGGGTTTCGACGACGGCGTCTCCTGCGGTTTCTTCTTCGTCCGCGCGTCGTCGTCGTCCGAGTCGTCGTCCGTGTCGATGTTGTCGAACTTGCTGTAGTCGATCGGCATCGCGCGCGACGTCGCGGGCGCGCGGGCGGCGCGGGGGGGGGGGGCGAGGCGAGGCGCGCGGGGGCGAGCGAGGGCGACGCGCCGCGGTGGTGCGTCGCGGTGGCGCGCGCGACGACGATGATGATTGAGGCGACGGGATGGATCTCTCTACAGGGTAGCTCTCTCGTGGAAGAAAAATTCTGGACTGTTCCTGTCGGTCGGCGACGGCGACGCTCTGGTCGCGAACGACGCCCTTCGCGCGCGGCATCAGCGCCTCCCCCGTCCGCTTCGTCGCGGGTGTAGGGGGAGGGCTTCACGGTACGCGCGCGGCGGGCATCCTTCGCGGCCGAGCGATGACGCGGGTCGCCGACGGCGATCGGCGGAGGGGACGAGAGGAGAGACGTCAGATCTCACGCATCGTCGTCGCGGTGACACATCGTCGTGCGTCACGTCTGTTGCGTCTCCTCCGCGGACGACGACCGCCAGCTGGGAGCGCTCGGCCGACGCGCCTAGCTCACGGCGCACATCCTGCACTTGCGGGGGCACTGGCACCGGTCCTCCTCGGGCACGCCCCGCAGAGCTTGCTCGATGTGCATGCCTCATCCTTGCTGCGACGGCGACGGGGGCGGGGAGCGTCATCACGGAAAGCGAAGCGAATTTCACACAGCTGTGTGGCGCGGGATGGATGGATGGGAGGAAAACGAGCGCGCGACGCGAACGACGCGGGACGCGCACCCAGGTGGGCTTGCCGCATTTGCCGCACGTCGTTCGAGAGCACATTCTCGCGGGAGTGTCGAGGGTCGCGATGGAGTCGGCGCGCGCGTCGAGGGTGTGACGCGGACGGAACGGCGAAGACGCCCGAACCGCGTTCGTCTACTCGGCGAGGACCGTTGAAGCGGCAGTCGGCGACTCGGCGTCGTCGGCGCGTCCGAGAGTCTCCGGGCGTTTCCTTCGCTTCGCGCGACGACGCCGCGACGCCACTCCCGCGGGCGCCGGCGAGGATGACGCCGCCGCCGTCGGCGGCGCCGCCGCCCGCGCGGCGTGCGTCGACGACGACGGCGAGACCGGCCCCTCATCGCGGCGGCGGCGGCGGCGGCGGCGGTCCCGCGCGCAGCCTCGAGTTGCACGTCTCGCTCTACAACATCCCCGACGCGCTCGCGTCGCGTCAGCCCCCCCCGCGCGTCTTCGCCGCGCTCCTCGCGGAGCTCCCGCCGAGCACGAAGGACCGAGGACGCGTCGGCGTCGCGCGCGTCCACGAGCGGCACGCGCGATGGCGCGTCGCGGGCGTCACGGAGCCCCAGCTCGTTCGCGTCGACGCGTCGATCCTCCGCTTCGTCGTCCCGACGCACGTCGACGGGCTCGTCGGCGACCGCCTCCACCGCCGCGCCGCGATCGCCGTCTACGAGATCCCCGACGGCGACGACGGCGACGACGTGTACGTCGCCGCGGACGAGTGCGTGCCGCCGGATTCGCGCCCGACGATCGACACGCGGCGCCTGGACGAGATGACGTACGTCGGCGAGGCGCGCGCGCACGTCGTGGAGCTGCTGCGACGCGTGCAGGGCGACGACGCGGAGAAACGTTCGCGCGACCGCCCGGACGCGTCGCGACGGGTCCAGTACGCGCTCGCGCGGAACCCGATTCGATGCGTCGTCGTCGTCGACGACGACGAGGATGACGGCGATGGCGACCTCGGCGTTTCAGGATCAGTCACCGCCTCAGCATCAGCGACCCTAAACCCCGCGTGGGAGGGCGCCGCCGTGGAGATCCTCGCGTCGCGGCCGAGGCACTGGCCGCGGCCGGGACCCGCGGAAGCCGGCGTCTTTTTCCTCGACGCCGAGGTGCGTTCTATACACTGGTCCCCATACGACCGCGTTCGCGTGGTGAACGCCGATCCTTAAGGACTTTTGCCGGCGCATCTCTGCGCCCACACCTCGCTTTCAATCCTCGTCCTCGACGCCTTTCAACTCCGCTTCTGACGCCTTTGAACTCCACCCCGACGTCGCTTCGTATGGAACGACCCCGAGCTCGTCTTCTCGCCGCTCTTCCCGCACGCGCCGAAGGACATCGAGCGCGTTTACGTCCGAATCCTCCGCTGGGTCGGGGACGGGTACCAGCCCATACACAGCACGCTCGTCGCGCACGGCGACGTCCCGGGCGCGGGCGCGGTGTACGCGGAGCCGAGGAGCGGTAAGAAGGGCGCCGTGCCGCGGTGGCGCGCGAAACTCCACGAGACGGCGATCGCCGTCGCGTGCCTCCACGGCGGCGGCGGCGACTCGAACGCCGTCTACGGCCGCGCGCCTCTCGCCTCCGCGGTCGTCGAGCGCGTCGACGGCGACGTCGGCGACTCGGACGCCGCGAGAGCGCGCGCGGCGAGGTATCTTCCCCCGGGGGACGTCCCGTGGCGCGTCGAGGCGATCGCGCGGTTGACGCGCGGGAAAGACGTGCTCCTCGGCTGGGTCGACGTCACGCTGAGCGAGCTGTGCGACGCGGGCGCGGCCGCGAGCGAGGACGCGCCCGCGCGTTTCGACTGCGAGCTCGTCCCGCACGAGAGCGATTTCGAGTGCGCGAGGATTAACCCCGCGCGAGGCGACGCGCCGGCGGTGCTCGAGGTGTACGGGTTCCGCCTGAGGGCGGGGAACGGGGAGAAAGCACGGGGACCCGCCGCGGCGGCGACGGCGACGGGCGCGGGCGCGGAGAAAAAAAGAGTCGCCGCGGCGGCGGCGGCGGCGACGTCGGAGAAGGAGAACGAGGACGAGAGAGAGAGACCCGAGAGACGCGAGAGGATGACCGCCATGGAGGAAGCGGAGGAGGAGGAGGAGGAGGAGGAGGCGTTCGAGAAGAGAGAGGAAGAGGTCGATCTCGACGCCGCCGTCGCGGTTCCTCGAACGCCCGCGCCTCCGTCGGCGGCGACGGCGGCGGAGGACGACGACGACCCGGAATACACCGCGGCGATGCGCGCGATGCGATCGCTGCGCGTCGACGGCGGCGACGACGACGCGAACGACGACGCGAACTTCCTCGACGATAGCGACGTGGACTCCGAGGAAGCGCGGCTCGACGCGGTCGTCTCCGGGCTGTCTCGCGCGGCGCGCGCGAAGCTACGTCGGACGCCGCCGCCGCCGCCGCGGTCGTCGACCCGCGGCGGGAGGGCTTCGACGGCGAGGGCGACGAGACCCACCGCGAGACCGACGGCCGCCGCGACGACGTGCGCGCGCGCGAGGCCGGTCGCGGGAGCCGCGAACCGCCGAGGGTGGAGCTCCACGTTGTCGAAGCCGAAAGAGACCCCGCCGCCGGTGAGCATGGCGCAAGAGCTCAGAAGCCGCGCGTACGACGGCGCGAAGATCGCCGCGGCGGCGGCGTCGGCGCCCGCGCGACGGAAGACGCGGACGATGCGGCCGTTCGAGGAGCTGTCCCCGCGGTCGCGGTGGCACGCGGAGAAGGAGAGGACGAGAGGCGCGACGGCGACGAAGCCGGGGATGCTGCCCGCGCGCCGGGAAGCTGTCGATCGACCGCCGGGCGACGACGACGACGACGACGACGACGACGCCGTCTCGGAGGTGTCGTTCGTCGCCCCGGTGCGCGCGCTGCTGCATCGCGCGGTCGTCGCGCAGCACGCGAGAGAGGTCTCGAGCGCGGCGGCGCGCACGCCCGGCGTCGCGTCCGTGCCGGCGGCGTTTCACGACGAAGACGACGAGGAAGAAGAGGAGGACGTCGGCGGCGGCGGCGGCGGCGGCGACAAAGAAAACGACAGCCCCGCGTCCGCGCCGACGACGAGCCTCACGCCGTCGCCGCCGCGGCGCGTCGCCTCGGATCACTCCACGCCGTGGAAGGCGGCGTCCACGTCCAAACACAAGAAGGATTCGAAGCCGCCGAACCCGGAGCTCATCGCCGCCGCGGACGCCGCCGTGCGCGCGGCGCTCGTGGAGAAGCTCGCGTCGCACACTAAAGGTGCGTTCTATACACTGGTCCCCATACGACCGCGTTCGCGTGGTGAACGCCAATCCTTAAGGACTTTGCCCGGCGCATCTCTCCGTCCACCCCTCGGTTTCGATTCCCGCCCTCGACGCCTTTCAACGCCAACTGACGCATTTCAACTCCACCCCGGCATCGCTTCGTGTGGAACGACCCTAAAGCCGAGCTCGTGGACACGGCGCTTCGCATTCGTCAGGAGCTCCTCGTGAAGTTCAGGGGGCAGCTCAGGTGGTTGGAGCAGAGGCGCGCGCGCGAGGCGAAGGAGGCCGCGGTGGTGTACAGAGCGAGCGGCGCGGGGAAGGGCGCGACGGGGGTCGCTCGGGGCGCGAGATGAGATGGAGGTTGTCGCGCGTAGGCGCGGCGACGAGTTGTTAGTTCGCCCACTGTGTATGATAGCGGAGGGCGATTTTTATGCAATTCCCGATTTGGCGCGTCCGAGCCGAGCCGGTCGACCGTCGTCCGATTCCGCGATCGTGGTCCAACGTCGCCCCGCGCCCTTCGCGGCCACACCACCGCCGCGCGTCCCTCGGCGACCGCGTCGGCAGCACCACCGCGCGCGCGTCGATACACCGCGCGATTCGGGCGTCGTCGTCGTCGTCGAAACGCCGCGCGTCGGGATGACGACGGGCACGTACTTCGAGCGCCTCGCGGCGAAATCCGCGGTGGACGTGAACCGCGATTCCCCGCCGAGGGATTCGCGCGCGTCGCCCGGACACCACGGTCCCGCGGGACGACCGAAGAACTTGATGGACCCGACGGACGGGACGATGCCGTGGGCCCCGAGCGCGTACGGCCGCGGCGACGCGCCGCTGCCGGTGATCCCGCCGCGGCTCGCGCCGTCCGGCGCGCCGCTCGCGGACGCGGGCGTGCAGTGCGCGCCGTCCGAGGCGACGCGATTTTACCTGCCCAAGGCGGAGCGCGCGCGCGAGGGGCAGGCGGCGCGGCCGTTCGTCCGCGCCGACTTCGACGTCGTGGACGAGGACGTCGACAAGTTCGATAAAGAGCACGTCGAAGAAGAGCGCTTCGACAAGTTCGACGTCATCGCGGCGCAGGAGCACGGCCTGGGCGCGATGGACGACCGAGAGTGGCGCACCATGGCGGATTACGACCGCGTCGACTACGACGTCATGCTCCTCCCCCCCGGACGCGACTACGTCGGGCACCCTCCGCGCGGGTTCGGCCCGCTCGCGCCGGATCTGAAGGTGGCGCTCGAGGCGCTCGACGCCGCGGAGGGGGGCGACGCGCGCGTGCGTCTGACGCACGTCCCGAAGGCGGACGTCGCGGGGACGCGGTGGAGCGCGCTCAACGGAACGCCGACGGGCGTCGGGTCGTTCGACCTGGACCTGGACGCGACGCCGCCGACGCTGACGATGAAGCCGGAGCTCAAGGCGTGGCTCGAGAGGGTCGCGCGGATGCGACCGCGCGCGAAGGACGACCGGGGGCTCCTCGCGAAGCTTCAGGGCGCGGCGATCGCGCACGTGATTCGCGAGCTCGAATCGACCGAGCTCGGCGACGCGTTCGCGGAGCACGTGGGGAACAGCGCGCTTTCGAAGAGCGCGGCGGCGTCCATGAGCGGCGCGATGGCGGAGAACGAGACGCTCAGGGCGCGGATCGAGGAGCTCGAGCTCGAGCTCAAGGCGACGCGGGAGGTGGCGCTGAGCAACCAAGTCGCGGCGCAACAAAAATTCCAAGCCGAGATGGAGGACATGAACCAGAAGCAGAGGGAGCTGAAGAAGAAGTTAAACGCGCTCACCGAGGACGTCACGATGGCGAGGGTGAACTCGAACCGCGCGAACGCCGAGCTCAAAAGGGCGAAGAAGATTTTGGAGAAGCAGGGGTTCAGAGAGAAGGCTCGGCTGGTGCACCACGCCTTGCGCACGGAGATGATGCAGTCGGTCATCGAGGAGAAGGACAAGTCGTTCCGCGAGAACGAGCTTCTGCTCACGGAGGCGCGGCAAGAGGCTGCGTTCGTGGAGCACGAGAAGCTCGACACGAGCTTCCTCCTGTGGGCGGTGGAGAACCACATGACGGAGAACTTCTGGGCCGTGGAGATGTGCCGCGGCATGCACAACCTGATCCTCCCGAAGGGCTGCGCCGTCGTCATGCCGCTGCTGTCCCAGCTGTTCCGCAAGCGGTACTACAGCAACGCGGTGATCCCCGCGGGGTCGGTCATCATCGCCCCGCCGAAGGACTCCCCGCTGGTGGCGCTCATGCAAAAGGGGAAGGGCGGCGGAGGGAGCGGCTCGAGCCGATTGCCCGGCGTCGAGATGTGCCTCCCCGCCAACACGGTGATCGACTTCGAGGACGGCGAGGACGCGCACATCGAGATCCCGGGCGGCACGAAGGTTGTCCTCCCGTCGTCGTGGCTCCCGGACGACCGTCTGTACGAGGTCAGATTGCCGATCGGGACGTCCGTGATGCTTCCCGAGGACATCCGGGAGGACGCGGATGAGGACGGGGCGGACCTCGCGTACGAAATCTTCATGCACATGTACAAGCACAAGCTCATGTCCGAGGACGATGACGATTTCTACGTCGACGCGGCGATGATCGCTCGCGACGAGATGGAGAAGAGGAATGAGGGTGAGGAAACGATGAAGCGCTTACGCAGCCGAAGCGATCAGCACGAATCCGCGAACGTGCGGCGGATGCGTCATAACTCGTCGGCTTCGCGACACGCCGAGTCGGCGATGAAAGCTAAGAGGATGGCGGAGGACTTCAGCAAGAACGGCAAGCAGTTCGGCGTCGCGTGCGTGACGCTGTGGCTCCCGCCGAACACGCGCATAGGCGCCGTCGCCGGCGGTCTCAACCACGTGTTTCTCCCGTCTGGCTGCACGTATTACTTCTCCGGAAACGGGGACTCGTTCGTCCCGCCCGGCGCGATCGTGCGCCTCGCGTCGTTCCCGAGCGATCCGCACCACGTCATGCTCTCGCACGGCACGATCGCGAAGTTCCCGGGCGCGCCCGGAGACGCGGCGGACGGCGACGACGCGTACGCGACGAGTCACGTGGATAACGTCATCCTCCCCGGCGGCGCCGAGGTTATGTTCTCGCGCCCGGGGAAAGCGTTCGTGCCGCAGAACACGGTCGTGCGCGACCAGGCTGGCCGCGAACGCGTGAACGAGTCGTTCCTCGAACAAGAGATGCGCGTGGACGTGGACGAGGTGATGACGATGCCGTGCTTCTTGGGACGGGTCCCGACGTACGAAGAGCTCGCGATGCGAATGACGGATCTCGGGCAAGCCGCGGCGTCGCTCGCGGTGGGCGCGCTGTCTCCATCAGTCGCCGCGTCGATCCTTCACGTGTTCGCCGCGGAACAGGAGAAGTCCAACGAGGTGATCGGGGACGAGACGGGCGTGTCCCTCGCGTTCGACATGGTGAAGTACGCGCGTCTTCAGGCGCTGGGGATCATCGTCGCGAAGATGCCGTTCGAAGACGCGGTGGCGTTTTTAGACGTCATGGAGACGTCCCGCGCGGGCGCCATCATCGGGCACATGGAGGACCACGTCGAGCAGGAGGACATCGAGTCGCGCGAGAAGCTCAAAAACGCGGTGAGCGAGGAGGTGTTGAATCACGCGAGGTCGTGGAACGAGGCGTGGGTGGCGTGTCGCGAGGACGACGACGCCGCGCACGAGAAAATTCTCGACATCGTCACGACGATGCACTTCAAGGTGGCCGCGCGGCTGCTGTGCCGCGCGCCCGCGCAGAGAGCGTCCGGGTATCTCACCGCGTACGCGGAGCGCGACCCCGCGGCGGCGGCGCAGATCTTATCGTGGATGGGATACCTGACGATGAACATCGCCAACTTGAGTTACTTTTACCTGAAGGAGGACGTCGATCGCGCGCGCGCGCTGTTGAAGGTATCGCACGCGAAGAACGAGGGAGAGCTCGTGCAGGCTGTGCGCGCGATCATGCAGTTCTTGGAGAAGACGTTCGGCGTGCGGTGTTCGCTGTTGCGGACGAACTGCGACTGGGACAGCCAGGTGGAGCCGAAGAACATGCGGCCGTACACCATCTTGGAACTCGCGAAGGAAGAAGCCGCCGCGGAGCAGGAGCTGATCAAGCAAGCGGAGACGGAGGCGAAAATTCAAGAGATCATCGCCCAGAAGAACAGGCACGCGGTCGCGGGAGAGAGCTTCTACGGCGAAGTCGTCGCCGCGACGCAGCTGAGCAAGCTGCCGGTGGACTTCAGCATGTTGACCGACGGAGACGACGATTCCGACGACGACGAAATCGACGAAATCGATCGATCCGCCGCCGCCGTCGCCGTCGCCTCCGACGGCGTGCCGTACGTCCCGACGATGTACGACGTCGCGATGGAACTCCTGGACACGCTCGACGACACGCCGATGGACTTGAAGCTCCAAGCCGTGGACGAGCTCAACGTCCTCGCGACGTCGCACGACACCGTCATCAAAGGCGTCGGCCGCGACATGCACATGGACGAGCCGCACGTTCAAGTCGACGGGATCGTCGTCAAGGAGGCGATGTGGATGGCGCGGGTGAAGCGCGCGGCGGTGTGGCATAAGGGCATCTTCGTCGTCCCGGTGTTCAACGAGCACGGCATCCCGGTCGCGACGTTGGCGCACGTCACGGAGCCCGGGAAGGAGGAGAAGATGTCCTCGGTGGGCAAGCTGTCGTACCAACGCAACCTCGCGGCGCTGCCGAAGACGATCGAGTGCCTCAAGCTTCTCGGGAAGGCGGTCTCGCTCGCGACGACCGCGGTCGGCACTGCCGCGAAAGAGGAGCGCGCGAAGGCGAGGCTGTACAAGCGAATGGACCGGATGCGGTCGCGCGCCAGAGCGATCGGCGCGGACGCCGTCGACGCGAGACTCTCGAACGAGGAGGAGAACGACGAGGAGGAGCGACTCGCGCGCGAACGCGCGTACGCCGGGTTCAAGGACGAGCGGCGCAAGCTCGGGATCATCATCCTCGAGCAGCGGAAGGTGATTCGCGACGCGCTCGGCGAGATCAAGCGATACAAGCGTCCGCCCGGGGTGGTCACGAACCTCATCGTCGCGCTGTTTCTCTCGATGTGCAACGCGAGAGTCGTGGAAAAGGTGAAGGAGTACACCCTGGAGGAGCTCACGGCGTGGGTCTCGGGGAAGACGGGGACCGTCTCGGGAGCGCCCCCCGAGGAATTGCCCTTCACCCCCGCGAAGAAGAAGAAGGTGAAGAAGGCCAAGTCGGGGAAGTCGGTGAAGAAGTTGAAGAACCCGTCGGACGGCCAGGCATACAGAGAGGGGGACAGCCTCGTCGCGATGCAGGATGAGATTTGGGAAGTCGCGCGCACGGAGATTCAGCTCCAGTATCAACATCCGGAATTCATCCTGCGAAAGATGCAAGACGTCGCGTTGCACGGGGACGTGACCAAAATCTCGGAGCCGCACTTGCGGGCGGTCTTGCAAGGCGTGACGCTGAAGCAAGCCGCGGCGGCCAGCGACTCGTGCCTCATCTTGTTCAAGTGGGCGCGCACGCAGCTCGCGATGATCGACCTTCTCAGGCGCTCGCGGGAAAACGAAGCCGCGGCGAAGATTCAAGCCGTCGAGCGCGGGAGGAGAGCGCGCGGCAAGAACGAGGGCGCAAAGGTCAAGGCGGTGGCTCAAGAAGCGTCCGTGGCCGTGGCCGTGGCTGAGACGACCGAGGCTGTGGCTCAAGAAGCGTCCGAGGCTGAGTTGACCGAGGCTGTGGCTCAAGAAGCGTCGGAGGCGCCTCAGCGGCCTCAGCAGACAGCGGCCTCTGCTGAAGGAATCCGTCCGAAGAAGCGGACCGTGGCGTATGATCGCGCGGAAGCGAACGAAGCGAAGCTCCGCGCCGTGGAGGACGGGCTCGCGGTGATGGGGGGCGGGAAGCGCCCGGAGGACGCGGAGGACGAGGAGTGATGCAATTAATTTGAGAACCAATTAATTTCGATCGACGACGCATCCGCGTCGCGCGCGCATAGTCTACACGTAGCGTCGCCGGCTCGCTAGAGCTTCTCGCAGACGCGTAATTTCGCGCTCCGACTCCGCGCGTTTTCCCTGACCTCGTCCTCGTCCGCGCTCAGCGGCTTCCGCGTGATCAGCTTGACCACCTTCGGCGGCGGCTCCGGCTGAGGGTCGTTCCATACAAGCGAATGTCGGGGTGGAGTTGAAAGGCGTCAGAAGCGGAGTTGAAAGGCGTCGAGGGCGGGGATTGAAAGCGAGGGATGAGCGGAGAGAAACGCCGGGCAAAGTCCTTAAGGAACGGCGTTCACCACGCCAACGCGGTCGTACGGGGACCAGTGTATAGAACGCACCTGCGGCGCCCACGCGGAGACGGGCCCCTCGTCCGGCGGCGGCGCGCGCCCCGCGCGCTCGCGAAAGATGTCCTTCACGATCTTATCCTCGAGCGAGTGAAACGATATCACGCCCAGTCGTCCCCCGGGCGCGAGCGCGTCGATCGCGGCGGGGATCGCGTCCTCGATCGCGCCGAGCTCGTCGTTCACGGCGATTCGAATCCCTTGAAACGTCCGCGTCGCCGGGTGCACGTTCCCGCTCCGTCCTTTCTTCACGCCTGGCACGCGTCCGATGGCGCGCACGAGCGCCGACGTCGTCAGGATGGGCGCCTCCGCGCGTCTCTGGAGAGGAGAGGCGACGGTCGGTCAGCGGTCGAAAAGGTCGAAAGGGTCGAAAGGAAAGGAAAGGAAAGGAAAGGAAAGGAAAGAAGATGGAAGCGCGGCGTTCACGGCGGCGGAAGTTCGTCTCACCTCGCAGATCCTCCTCGCGATCAGCCGCCAGTGCTTCTCTTCGCCGTAGTCGCGAATCACGCGCGCGATGTCCTCCTCCGGCCACTCGTTCACGACGTCCATCGCGGAGAACGCGCACGACGGCCCCATGCGCATGTCCAGCGGCCCGTCGTTGCCGAAAGAGAACCCGCGCTCGGGCGAGTCGAGATGCATAGACGATACCCCGAGGTCGAGAAGGATCGCGTCCACCTTCCCGTTCAGCTCGAGCTCGTCGAGGCGAAAGCGCATCGCGCGGAAGTTGTCCAACACCGTGTTGAGCTCGAGCACGCGCGCGCCCCGCCTCGTCCTCGCCTCGGAGATCTTCGCCGCCGCCGCGCGGATGCGCGACGGCGCGATGGCGTGCGCGAGCGGATCCACGTCGAAGCCGACGAACGTGACGAGCTCGAGATGCTCTCCGATCACCGCGCACGCGTGCCCGCCCGCGCCCATGGTGCCGTCGACGTACGTCTTCATCTCGAGATCTCTGAACGCTTCCAGGACTTGGCGCGTGAGGACCGGGACGTGCGGCGCGACGGGGCCCTCGGCGACGGACGATCGACGCGCGTCGTCGTCGGCCGATTCCGATTCCGATTCTTCCTCCTCGGCGGCGGCGGTCGACGATGAAGACGTCGCGCCGCTGGACGCGCGGCGCCATCTGACTACGCGCTCCGACCGCGCGGCGGCGCGGGATATCGCGCGGCGCGTCAGCGCGCGCAACCCCGTCGCGAGGCTCATCGTCGAAGACGTCGATGTCATCCCGGGCGCGGGAGACTGTGCGCGGGGCGTTGTTAGATCTCTCTTCAAACCGTCTTATAAAGGTGAGTGGCTCTCGTGCCTCTTCATCAGTGTGGATGGACGCGCGGAAGGCGGTAGCCGCGCGCGCGCGCCGGGCGAAGCGCCGCCGCGTCGTCGCGCTCGCGGTGCTCGTCGCGTCGATCGTCGCGCTCGCGTCGTTCGCGCTCTCGGGCTATCGCGCGCGCGCGACGCCGTCGCAGCGGACGCGCGACGATGACATCGACATCGACGACGCCGCGCGCTCGCGCTCGCGTCCGTCCCCGCCGACGCCGCCGTTCGCGCGCCGGCGACGCGAAGAAGAAGAGCCCCGCGCGCCGAAGAAGAAGAAGAAGAAGAAGGCGACGACCGCGACGCCGCCGCCGCGGGCCCCGCGCGTCGTCGTGGACGCGCGCGATTACCCCGACGCCGTCGCGCTCGCGACGCTCGTCCGCGACGAGGTGTCGCCGTCGCCGTCCATCGCGCGCGGATCCCTCGTCGTCCTGACGTTCGCGGACCGCAAGATGCTCCCGCTCGCGATCAACTTCGTGACGCACTTGTCCGAGCTCGCGGAGGACGGCGTCCCGCACGTCGTCGGCGCGCTCGACGCGACGTCGCGCGCCGCGCTGTCGGCGTCTCGCGCGAAATGCGGATTCGTGTACACCCCCGACGCGTTCGGCGAAGGGTCCGGGTCTTCTTCCTCGCTCGACGGGTCGTCGTCGCACAGCAGCGGGAACTGGAAAGCGTTCGCGCGCGTGAGGATCGGCGAGGCGCGCGCGCTGCTCTCGATGGGGTTCGACGTGTTGATGTCCGACGTCGACGTCGTGTGGCGGCGAGACCCGCGGCCGTTCTTCTCGCGTCGTCGCGACGACGACGGCGACGACGGCGACGGCGGTGACGACGGCGACTACGACGCCTCCCTCGCGTCCGCGGACGTCATGGTCTCGAGCGATAACCTCTCCCCGCGCCGCGACTTCGAGCAAGGCGCGACGTACGCCGCGCGCGGAACGTTCAACACCGGCATCGTGTTCGCGCGGCGCACGCCCGCGGGCGAGAGATTCGCGGCGGCGTGGTACGAACGTTTGGCGAGGCCGACGGGGCGGTTCGCGTCTCTGACGTCGGACCAGCAGGTGTTCAACGCGATGGTCCGCGCGGAGGGTCGGTGGCCGGGGATCGAGCCGGCGAGGGCGTTGATCGCTGAGGGAGGCGGCGGAATAGGCGGCGCGCCGAGGGTGTTGAACGCGAGCCTCGGCGGCGGCGGCGGCGCGGACGGAGACGGAGACGCGTCGTCGTTCAGGCGCGTCCCATCTGACACTGGTCCCCACACGACCGCGTTCGCGTGGTGAACGCTGATCCTTAAGGACTTTACTTCCCGGCGATTCTCTCCGCCCACCCCTCGCTTTCAATCCCCGCCCTCGACGCCTTTCAACTCCGCTTCTGACGCCTTTCAACTCCACGCACCTCAGGCTCGGCGTCCTCCCCGTCCGGCTCTTCACCCCCGGGCACGTGACCTTCGTGCAGCGCGTCCACGAGTCGTCCATCGGGGGACGGCCCGTGCGTCCGTACGCGGTGCACGCGACGTACACGTTCGACGGCAGCACCGCGGCGGCGAAGAGGATGCGGTTCGCGGAGGTTGGGCTGTGGAGCCCGAACGCGGACAGACTCAGGTGCGTTCTATACACTGGTCCCCATACGACCGCGTTCGCGTGGTGAACGCCGATCCTTAAGGACTTTTGCCTGCGCATCTCTCCGCCACCCCCCCGCTTTCAATCCCCGTCCTCGACGCCTTTCAACGCCAACTGACGCCTTTGAACTCCACCCCGGCATTCGCTTGTATAGAACGACCCTCACGCTCGCGGAGAGCGGCGACGGCGACGGCGACGGCGACGGCGACGGCGGCGACGCGACGGCGCCCCTCGCGGGCGGCGACGCGGAGGAGAAGTTCCTGACGTTCGACCCCGCGCCGTCCACGCGCGATGTCCCCCGCGACGACGCGTCCATCGGCGCGCACCTCGCCGCGGCGGCCAATCAGGCGCGTTCTATTTATTTCACACTGGTTCCCATACGACCGCGTTCGCGTTGTGAACTTCATTCCTTAAGGACTTTCTCTCCCGGCGTGTGTTTCTCTCCGCCCATCACCCCTCGCTTTCGATCCCCGACCACGACGCCTTTCAACTCCGTCTGACGCCTTTCATCTCCACGCCAATCAGCTCGCGGCGTTGCGCGACGCGTCGGCCATCGCGCGCGTCCTCAACCGCACGCTCGCGATCCCCGCGATGCGATGCCACTGCGACAAGGTCTGGGGCGGGCACGATAACATCTTCGCGCACCGGTGTCGCTACCCCGGCAGCGAGGACGGCGATCACGTCCCCGGGAGGTGCCCGATGGACCACCTCGTCTCGCCGTCGGCGCTTCGCGACGCGGGGATTCGATTCGTCGCCGAGGCGGAGTTACGGCGGATTCCCTCCGTCGCGTCGCGCGTCGACGCGCCGGGCGGCGAGGTCGAGGTGATCGTCGCGGACGACGACGCGGACGCCGTGCGCGCGGGGATGAGCGATTCGATCGCGAGTCTCGTCGCGGTGCTGCCCGCGGGCGCGGACGCGGCGACGACGACGCGCGTCCTCGGGAGCGGCGGCGGCGGCGGCGGCGGCGACGCCGCCTCCGCGGCGTCGCGCGCGACACTCCTGCGACTGTCCACCGTGCGGGGCGGGACGTTCGGCGGGTTCAACGACGCGGCCGAGGCCGCGGCGTTCAACGCGAAGGTCACGAGGGGCGCGCTGGGGAGGGACACGCCGGAGTGGTGCGGCGAGTGTCACCCGAACGGCTGCGCGGCGTTGATTCCGGCTGAGGTGCTGAAGGTGCGTTCTATACACTGGTTCCCATACGACCGCGTTGGCGTGGTGAACGCCGTTCCTTAAGGACTTTTCCCGGCGTGTCTCTCCGCCCACCCCCCCGCTTTCAATCCCCGACCTCGACGCCTTTCAACTGCAACTGACGCCTATGAACTCCACCCCGACGTTCGCTTGTATGGAACGACCCTGAAGCTCGGAATCACGAAGCCGACGCGGGTCGTGCACGACATGTTTTGCGCGCGGTTCGAGACGCCCGCGGACGTCCCGGTCGCGACGCGCGCGGCGGGGGGATGAAGCGAAGCGACGCGCGATAGCCTAGCCTAGTAGGTTTGATGGTACACGTACAGTAGCCCCGCGAGCTAAGTTGGCGAGCGACGTCGGACGTTTTTTATTTTCGAGCGAGGCGCAGCGAGGATACGAATCGCCGCGACGTCGGACGCGACGACGCGACGGCTCGTCTTCCCGCCGCGCCCGCGCACATCCCCGCGCGCTTCGACCGACGCCCCCCCCCTCTCCCCTCCTTCGAGAGCGCGCATGGACGACGCGGACTTGCGGCGCGTGAACCTCCTCGAGTGCCTCGAGGAGGAGCGCCCCGCGCTCGCGTCGCTGCTCCCGCCCGAGTCGGTCCTGAGCACCTGGAGCGACGACGAGCTGCGCGCCTTCTTCGCGAGCGACGGCGCGAGACGACCGGAGAAGCGCGACGCGTCCGTCGCCGGCGGTGCGAGGGACGCGCGCTTCATGAGCTCGGAGGACGAGCTCGCGGCCGCGCGGTCGGGGGCGATGAACGTGGACATCACGCGCCCGGAGTACAGCGCGGCGCGGTACCGGTGCGCGACGGAAACGATTCTCGTCGCCGAACGAATGAATCGTCGACTCGATGGTCGACTCGACGCGACTCGCCGCTCTCGCTTCTTCGTCCCGTCCTCTCATCTCCGCTCCCCGCGCCGTCGCCAGAGAGGTCGCGTTCGCGCGCGGGATCCCGTTCCGCCGCAACGGCCTGTTCCCCCTGAACGACCCCGCGCTGTCGAAGCTGTCGAACGATCCGCGGCTGAAACCGCTGCAGAAACACTTCCCGATAGATCACCCGCCGTTCTACGAGTGCGTCGGCGGATGCTGGGCCACGGGCGACGACGCCGCCGCGTCCGGGCTCGACCTGCGGTACTTCTACGACGACGTCAACAAGTCGCTCTCCGCGGTCGTGCGGTTCGGCGACGGCGCCGCGATCGCGCGAGGGAAAGGCACCAGCGCGCACGGCGGATCCATCGAGACCGCGCTCGACGAGACCACCGCCGAAGGCGCGTAGTCCCATTTCATACTGGTCCCCATACGACCGCGTCGGCGCGGTGAACGCCGATCCTTAAGGACTTTCCTTTCTCTCCCGGCGGTCGTCTCTCTCCGTTCATCACTCCTCGCTTTCGATCCCGACGCACCCTGCGGCGACGCGCGCCTTTCAACTCCGCCGACTGACGCCTTTCGACTCCGCCGACCGACGCCTTTCGACTCCGCCCTCGTCAGTCGTGAAGTGCGCGGTGGCGCCGCAGTGCGCGACGACGTCGCTCACGGCGAAGATCAAGAAGCCCGTGGAGCTTCACACGACGTACGTCATCGAGTGCGTCGTGAAGCCCGTGCCCGGGTCGGGGAAGTCCGCGCTCGACGAGTCCGCGTTGCGCGTGCTCGTGGAGGCGACGATGAGAGACGCGGAGACGAACGCGGTGGTCGCGACGTGCGAGGCGACGCTGGCGAACATCTCCGCGTTCAACCGCGCGCGGCGATGAGCGAGCTGAGCCGCTTTCTTTTCTTTCTTTTGGTGACACCGAAGCCGCCGTGGCTATCTATCGTACTGTATCTATCGCGCCTCGCCGCTCCGCTCCGCCCTGCGACGCTCGACGCGTCATTCATCATTGGATCTCCGGTTTGACGGTCTTACTCACGGTTCGATTCCAACTCGGCCTCTCCGCCAGCCCTCTCGCTTTAATGGCGTCCATCCGCTCCACGCGTCTCGCGACCCGCCGTTTCAACCTCGCGCGCAACTTCGGTCGGTACCCGAGCGCGAACAGAGCCTCCAACCACACGAACAGCGGCGCTAGCGCGAGCGACTGAGGGTCGTTCCATACAAAAACAGTTCATCGGTCAGTTGAAACGAGACGCGATCAAATGTTGAAACCGGGCGATGGGTGAAAAACGTTTGTATAGAACGCACCTGAAACAGCGACTCCGTCAGCGCCGGCCTTCTCTTCTCGAACACCGCGTGCCCCGGATGTATCTGCATGTACCACGACAGCAGATGCACGACCAGCGCGTTCGCGCACGCGGCGTCGCCGCGCGCCGCGCGGTACCACGTCGCGGTGAGAAACGAGGGGACCCCCACGAGCAGCGTCCACGCGACGCCCGCGAAGGGCTCGAGGAGGACGTAGTAGAACGCGTACCTGAGGGTCGTTCCATACAAAGCGACGTCGGGGCGAAGTTCAAAGGCGTCAGTTGGAGTTGAAAGGCGTCGCGGGCGGGGATTGAAAGCGATGGGTGGGCGGAGAGATGCGCCGGGCAAAGTCCTTAAGGATCGGCGTTCACCACGCCGACGCGGTCGTATGGGGACCAGTGTATGGGATGCGTACGCGAGCATCGCAAAGAATGCGAGATTCGGGCTCGCGGCGGCGACGAGCGCGTCCGGGAGCGCCGCGCCCATCCACGGCGTCGACGAGATCGCCGCGGGGAGATTCAGCGCGGACGCGGGGAGCAGCGGCCCCGAGGACGCCATCCACACGAGCGCGCTCCACACGATGCCCGGCACGAAGACGAAGTGGATGCACTGGTTGATTGCGTTTCTGTGGTACGACCCGTAGAAGCTGAGTTGGTCCAACAAGTCCGCGTTCAACCCCGCGATGGCGCGCGTCTTCCTCCGCGGCGACGACATCGGGGATTCGGGCGCGAGCGACGCGCGAGCGCGCGGGCGCGGGGGCATCGGTTGCGGCGCGCGCGACGTCATGGCGTTCGGGCGTCGCGCGCTCGCAATTTGGAATCGTACGGTCCAAGCAATTTTCTTCTGGAAGTCATATAGTGTAGTGCTGTCACAACCACTCGCGGCGTCGGTCAACTCGGTTGACCGCCGCGCGAAGCAAAGCAAAGCAAAGCAAAGCAACTCGTCTATCGCACCGCGCTCGTCCCTCCGTCCGATCGCGTCCTCCGCGCCGTTCCTCTCGTCCATCGCGCCGGGGGGGCGCCCGCGTCGTCGTTCACTCGGAAACGCGTCCGCGCCCAGCCCCGCGCCGCCGCGCGGTCGCGTTTCCGTCGACGTCGTCATCAACGCGACGTCACGCGCCGTCGTAGGACGACGCGACGTCGTATCCCTCCGCCCGCGTCGCGTAGACGTTCCACAGCGTGCTCCCCTCCAACCCCGCGTGTTGCTCGACGAAGATCCTCCGCGGGTCGAACCCGCCCGCGTTCACGAGCAGCGACGTGACCTCCTCGAGCCGCCCAGCCGTGGACGGCGCCGCGGCGTCCGCGACGGTGGTTCGTCTTTTCCCCGTTTGCGTTTTCTTCGACGCCGACGAGGCCGACGCACCCGCCGCCGACGACGCCAACGACGCCGACGACGTCGACGCGACCCCCTCCCCGCCGCCGTCGTGCACCTCCATCGCCACTTGCCTCACCAACGGCCAGTGCTCCTCTCTCACGCCCCGCAACACGTCCAACTCCGCGCGTTCCACGTCGACTTTCAGCAACCCGACGTCGCTCAACCCGTGCGCGTCGATGACGTCCGACACCGTCACGAGCGGGCAGTCGAACGTCTCGCGCTCGCCGAGGATCCGCCGCAGAACGAGCGTCACGAGCGTCTCGAAGACGGCGCGCGCGAGCCTCGCGAGGAGACGCGCGACCGCGGCGAACGGGTTGAACGCGGAACTTCCGGACCCGGCGTCGATCGTCCGCGTCGCCGCGCGGAGGCGCGACATCAGCCACCTCCCGAACGCGACGAGCGGCGTCTTCTCGAGTCCGTCCGACGTCGGCGTTTTCGTTTCGGAACTCGTTTCGGAACTTCCGACGTCGTCGCGTTCGCCGCCGTCGCCCCCCAGCGCGGTCTCCACGAACCGCGTCGTGTTGCTCTTCGTCTCGTCGTCGTCCGGGTACGCGGTGCTGCGGGTCATTTCCCATACGAAGCGACGAACGTCGGGGCGGAGTCGAAAGGCGTCAGGGGTGGAGTTGAAAGGCGTCATAGGGGCGGGCGTTGAAACCGAGGGGCGATGGGCGGAGAGATGCGTCGGCGAAAGTCCTTAAGGATCGGCGTTCACCACGCCGACGCGGTCGTGTGGGGACCGGTGCGAGATAGGACGCGCCTCCACCCCGCGGCGCGCGGGTAGAAGAAAAACTCCCCGACGCTCTTCTTCCCGTCGCTCACGCCGACGTTGTACGCCCACACCGCGCCGCTCGGCGGGTGCGTCTTCCGCGTCCTGAGGCATGAGCTCGCGCCGTCCGTGCGCGCGGTGAACGACCCCTCCGCGGCGTCCATGGGGCCGTCGCAGTCGTCGTCCTCCAGCATCTCCTCGAGCTGAGAGCGTCGTTCCATACAAAGCGACGTCGGGGTGGAGTTCAAAGGCGTCAGGGGTGGAGTCGAAAGGCGTCGAGGTCGGGCGTTGAAAGCGAGGGGTAGGTGGAGAGATGCGCCGGGAAAAGTCCTTAAGGATCGGCGTTCACCACGCGAACGCGGTCGTATGGGAACCATTGTGAATCAGAACGCGCCTCGTCCGCGAGCTCTTCGTACGAGAAGTCGACGTCCGGGTCCGCCGATCGCAGCTCCGCGCCGTCTTCTTTCCCGCGGAGCTGCCTCCCGAACACGTACCCGAAGTCCTCGTCGTTCAACCCGCCGAGGAGCTCCGGGGACAAGTCGCAGCTCAGCTCCGAGTCGATGGTCTCCTGGCACGCGGCGTCCGCGCCCGGCGCGCACAGGTTCGTTCGCAAGTTCTAGCGCCGCGTTCATAGGCGTCAGTTGGAGTTGAAAGGCGTCGAGGTCGGTGATTGAAAGCGAGGGACCCTGGGCGGAGAGAGACGCCGGGAAAAGTCCTTAAGGAACGGCGTTCACCACGCCGACGCGGTCGTATGGGGACCAGTGTCAGATAGAACGCACCTTCGACAGCGCCGCGTACGTCGGAGGGATCGGCTCGAGAGTGATCACTTTCCCGCGCGTGCATTTCCGCGCGGCGAACATGGCGAACATCCCGATGTTCCCCCCGACGTCGATGACCGCGTCCGTGGACCGCAGCGTCACGCCGTGCTTCAGGTAACACGACTCCGCGAAGATCTCGTCGTACAAGAATTGCACGTCCGGAGGCGAGACGTAGTGGACTGTCATCCCGTTCGGGAGCTCCGCGGTCTTCGCGCCGCGGCGCAGGATCACCGCGCCGTCCGAGGTCGTCGGCGGCGGTTCGATCCCCGGCGTCGGCGCGGGGGACGCGATGGAGACCGAGCGCGGGGGCGTCGGCCTCGGCCTCGACGCGCGGAGGCGGCGCGCGAGCGCGAGCGCGGGCGCTGGACGAGGAGGACCACGGCGTGCGCGTCTTTTCATCCGCGCGACGTCGTCGTCGTCGTCGACCGTCGTCGCTCCGCGCGAGACGGATCGCGGCGACGCGTCGGTCCATCGCGCGATCGTCCGCGACGCGCGCGGCGACGGCGACGGCGACGCGCGCGCGCGAGGCGGCGTCGCGTGAGCGCGCATCGCTGGAGAGACGGAGTCGCGCGCGGCCGAGGAGTGCCAAGGCGCGCGCAGAGTGCTGCGCCGACGCGACGGGAGATCAGATTTTTCCCGCGCCGCTGACGAGGACCGAACCAATAGGAAGCGCGCGCGTCGCCGCGGCGCTCTCGGCGCGCGCACCGACGCGCGGCCGCGCCCGACGCGATGGCGCCGACGCCCTCGACGACGCCCGCGCGGCTTCCCGCCGCGAGATGGCGCGCGCGCGCGCCGCCGCGACGCGGACGCGCGCCGCGCCGGTGGCTCCCTTCGCAGACGCCACCGCCGGTGCCGACGCCGTCGTCGAACGACGACGAGAATAAGATCCGATGGTCGTTCGCGCCGAGGGCGTCGTCGTCGTCGTCGTCGTCGTCCGACGACGACGCCGCGCCCGCGGACGCGTCCGAGGACGACGCGCTGCGAGCGCGCGCGATGGCGCTCCGCGCGAGGGCGATCAAGGCGTACCTCGCGCTTATGTCCGTCCCGAGCGCGAACTTGTTCGAGAAAGAAGAGCTCGCGAAGGCGCTCGCGGACGCGTGGATCGAGAAGCGCTCGAAGACGGTGAACCTTCCGCTGCGACAGATCGTCGGGATGCCGGGGAACCCGCGCGCGGGGTACGTCGTCGTGACGCTCGACCTCCCAGCGCCCGCCGGGTTCGTGGACTTCCTCGTCGACAGCGGCGCGACGACGGCGATCGTGTCGCCGCGGTTGCGCGAGATGCTCGGCGCGTCGGCGACGGACGGCGCGGCCATCCGCGGCCTCGGCGCCATGGGCGAGACCGTCCGACAGAAAGTCACGATCGACGGCGTCGGCGTCGGGAGCGCGCGGATCGGCGCGCTCGACGCGGTCGTCACGGACCTCGACGCGAGCGGGCTCCCCGCCGTCGTCGGCGGGCTGCTGGGCCTGGAGTTTCTGTCCAAGGCGCGTTCTGATTCACACTGGTTCCCGTACGACCGCGTTCGCGTGGTGAACGCCGATCCTTAAGGACTTTCTCTCCCGCAGTACGCGAACGTCTGCTTTACACCGATCCCTCGGTTTCAACATTCGATCGCGTGGCTCCGTCCCTTTCGACTGATCGATGAACAACTTGCCGTATTTCGTCGTCGGAACGCGAACGCTCTTTCATCAGTTCGAGTGCGAGTTCGACTTTACCGACAAGGCGCTGCGGTTTCACCCGCCGGGATCCGTCGCGTGCGGCGCGGTGGACGCGAGCGACCTCGTCGCGATCCCGCTCGGGACGCACCCGACGGGGTTGCGGACGGTACAGTGCGCGCTCAACGGCGGCGCGCCGTTCCCCGGGATCGTGGACATGGGGTCGTTCTTCTCCGTCGTCAACTGGATCGCCGCCAACTCGGGCGCGTGTTCTGATTCACACCGGTTCCCATACGACCCCGTTCGCGTTGTGAACGCCGATCCTTAAGGACTTTCCTTTCTCTCCCCCCGCGCGCGCGTCACTCTCCGCCCATCACCCCTCGCTCACGATCCCGACGCGCCTCGACGCCTCACGACTCCGTCTGACGCCTCACGACTCCGCCCCGACGTTCGCTCGTACGGACGATCACCCTCGACCCTCAGGCGGCGTCTCCCCGGACTCCCCGGGCGTCGCGGAGAGCGCGATGAAAGCCGTGGGGATCGACGGCCGCGCGATGAACATGGCGACCGCGGCGTTCACCCTGGACGTCCTGGGCGCGGAGGGCGAGGAAACCTCGCTGAAGAGCGAGTACAAAGGGCAGTGCTGCGTCGGGGACTTGCCCGCGTTCGCGTCGCTCGGCGCGGAGACGTCGGCGTGCATGTCCGTCGGGTTAGGTGCGTTCTATACAAAAGTTTTTCACCCATCTCCCGGTTTCAACACTTGATCGCGTCCCCTTTCAACTGACCGATGAACTATTTTTTTATGGAACGGCCCTTAGACGTCATCGGGCGGGGGCGGACGATCCTGGACGTGAAGAACGACAGGGTGTATCTCACCCCGGGGGACGCGCCGGGGGGGATGTGGAGCGAGGAGGAGGGGTATGGGGGCGGGAAGACTGGGGGGGTCGCGTAGTATATAGCCGGGTAGCGGCGTCCATCGTCGACTTTGTTTTTCATCGCGAACAGAAAGAATGCTTTCTTTTCCCGCCGGTCGTCTGCCGGTCGCGCCGACGGACGCGGATCAGATTTAAACGCGTCGCCCCTCGGTCGCCATGGCGGCGACCGGTCCGGAGAGCCCGAAGGCGGTGACCTCGCCCAGGGACTCCGAGAACGCGTCCACGTCCGCGGGCAAGTGGATCCACTACGGCGGCGTCGAGATCCGGACGCGCCTGGGCGGCGAGAACGGCGCCTTCGACGGGCAAGATCGCATGCTCTCGATGCGCGCGGACCGACACAAGGACGCCGCGTCGCGCGACCCCGACGACTTCGACGCGCTGTACTCGTGGGCGCTCGTGCTCCAAGAGCAAGCGGAGCGCGCGGAGGCGAAGGGCGCGGACGCGTCGCGGCGCTCGGACCTCCTCGCCAAGGCGTGCGCGCGCTACGACGCCGCGCATCGCTGCCGCCCGAGGTCGCACAGCACGCTGTACAACTGGGGGATCGCGCTGGGCGATCGCGCGCGAATGAGCGCGGACGCGCCGACCGCGCGACAGCTGTGGGGGGAGGCGTGCGACAAGTATCGCGCGGCGGTCGAGTGCGACGTCGCGAAGACGCAGTCCACGCAGGCGCTGAACAATTGGGGGCTCGCGCTGCAGCAACTCGCGACGGTGAGTCGAGAACGCGACGAGAAGAGACGACGGCTGCTCGCCGCGGTGGGGCGGTTCCGAGAGGCGATTCGACGCGACCCGTCGTTCCACCGCGCGGTGTACAACCTCGGGACGATCATGTACGCGCTCTCGGAGATGGCGCGCAGCACCGGGGGAGGTGGAGGAGGGGGGCCTGGGGGAGGGGGTCGGAGGAAGAGAAACGCGGACGCGGATGCGGAAGACGACGACTCCGACTCCGACGCGGACGCGGACGACTCCGACGACGGCTCGGACGACGGCGGATCCCACTCCGGCGGCGACGACGCGCACGGCGTCGGCGCGGAGTCCGCGCCGAGAACCCCCGCCGCGCTTCAGACCGCGGCGGCGACGTACATATGCTGCGCGCAAGCCTCCCCCGGCGCGCGGCCGGTGTACGCGTCGTCGCTAAGGCTCGTGCGACGCTGCTTGCCCGCGCCGGCGCTGCGAGCGGGGACGCTGCTGGCGTCGCCGCCGTCGCTGCCGACGGCGACGTCCGGGTGTTGGCGCGAGCGGAGGTTCGTGTTGGACCACGAGGCGTTCTGGACCGCGCCGGGCGAGGGCGGCGACGACGACGCCGACGACGACGCCGACGACGCCGACGACCGCCGCGGCCTCGGCCCGCTCGGCTCGTGGGCGTCCGTCCCGCGGCCGACCCCCGCGCGAGGCTTCGCGGACGCGGACCCGAACGACGCGACGACGACGACGACGACGACGGCCCCGGCGTCTTCCGGCGGGACGCGCTGGGGCGTCCACGTGAACATGGAGGACGTCGTGAGGCGCGTTCTCTTTCGCAACGGTCCCCATACGACCGCGTCGGCGCGGTGAACGCCGATCCTTAAGGACTTTTCCTGGCGGTCGTTTCTCTCCGCCCGCCCCTCGCGTTCAATCCCCGACCTCGACTTATTCTTTCAACGCCACCTGACGCCCTTAAACTCCACCCCGACGTCGGTCGCTTCGCGCGGACCCTCGACCCGCAGCGTGCAGCCGTGCGCGGACGCGTCGCTGCCGCGTCCCGGGCACGGGTTCAGGGTCGGACTGAGAGACGGGCGTGGGCACTTCTTCGTCGCGCGCAGCGAGGCGGAGCGGGAGGGGTGGGTGGACGCGCTGACGTTGACGCGCGCGCTCGTGTGCGGCGGACGCGGGGACGCGCTCAGGAGGGAGCTCGCGAACGCGGGGAGGGCCTCCCAGTAAGGTAGTTAGACGACGAGCATCGAGAATTAAAATATTTGCCCGGTCGAGCCGGGTCATCATCAGCCAGCCGCCTTTCAACTTCCTTTCAGAGGTGGCATCGTGAATGAGACCGTTCGCTTTTCATAATCCGATCGAGTGGGGCTCGCGAGAAGCCAACGAGAGCGGAAACCACCGCGTATGAGCAATTAGTCTAAGTTGTTTACAATTTGTAGCTCGAAACGACGCAAATCGCGCGGATCTGAACGCTGCATTCACGAAATGAAATGACAGCCGCGTTCTGCTTCGAGCGCGCGCTTTTTGCGGGAGAGCGCGTCGACGACGCATGCCGTTCGGGCGACGCGCTGCGACGCATTCGCGGCCGCGCGACGACGAGACCGTCCACGCGAGCTCGGTCGCAGAGTTCGCGCGCGCGCTCGCGCTCGTTCTCCGTCGGACGCGGACCCACGCGCGGGTCGCGCGCGCGTCTCCGGTCGCGTTTCCGGTCGCGCCGCGTAAACCCTGAGACTCTCCTCTCTCTCTTCTCCCGCGGCGAGAGGAAATCGCGTCGCGCGCGGGCGACATGACGCCGCCTGACGCCCCGCGCGCGGGCGCGACGGACCCGGTGAAGCGACGCAGCGCGCTGACGAGCGCGTTCGAGGAGCTCGCGCTGCATTCGGAGCGCGACGTGGAGGAGGTGCGCGCGCGCTCCCCCGCCCAACCTCGCTCGCGCTCGTTTCAAATGCCCCCCCGTCATCATCCGGAATGCGACCGCGTCCGCGCGCGTCCCTCGCGCGTCCCGTCGCCGAACCTGACGCGCGCGCCTCCCTCCCCTCCCCCGTCCCCTCCAGGGCCTCCACGCGGAGGGATTCAGCGCGCACGTCGTGAACGACGACTCCCCGGGGTCGCCGTCCGTGCAGGTGGACGCGCTGCGCGGGCCCTCGTTCAGCGCGGCGCGCCCGCGAGGATCCTTCGTCGACTGCTTCTCTCTCGACGACCCGGAGCTGCTCGCGCGCTCCGCGGGGCGGCAGCACGGCAGCTTCTCGTGCCTCTCGATGCTCAGCGACTCCCCGCGGACGCGAGGGTTCGTGTTCCGCGAGGACTCCGCGCAGGAGGACGGGAGCGGCGGCAGCGACGAGAACGACGAGGGCGCCGCGGCGGGGTTCTCGGCGGGGGACGACGACGATCACGTCAACTCCAGTCGACGGGCTAGCTTCGACGTCGCCGCGGCGCGCGCGAGGGACGTCGCGACCGAGGAGTTCGACCTCGGATTCTCGCCGAGCGAGACGATCGCGCGGCTGCGGTGCGACAGCGGCAACGAGGGGAGCCTGAGCGACGCCATGATGCATCGAGGCGCGTCGCCGAGCGGGAGGAGTCTGTCGTCGTCGCGGAGCGCGTCGCGCGTGGGGTGGGCGGCGCCGCCGAGGGTCGTCGTGGTGCACCCGGCGGAGGACGACGTGACGGAGTGCGACGCGGCGAGCGCGGGGCGGAAACAGCGGGGGAGCTTCAACTCGCTGCTTCTGCTGGAGGCGGCGAAGCTGTCGCATCTGGGAGGCGATCGGGGGGGCGCGGAGGAGGCGACGGAGGCGTCGATCGCGGAGGTGCGATTTCCGGTCCAAGCCGCGCGTTGATGGTCGAGAGGCGAGCGATCGCGTCTCGAGGGGCGAGAGAAGGAGGAGGTCGTCGCGTCGCGACGTTTCCACGACTCGTGTGATAAACAAAAAAATAGCCGAGACATCTGATGACGCCCTCCCTCCTCGCTTCCTCTCATCGATCAACTCTTCACGAGCAGCGCCTCCATCGTCGCCATCCTCTCTCTGACGCTCGACAGCTGCTCCTCGAGCTCCGCCAGCTCCTTCCTGCTCTTCTCCACGACGTCCGCGGGCGCCTTCTCCGTGAACTTCGGCGACTTCAGCCGCCCGGCGAGCCCGCTCGCCTCCTTCTCGAGCTTCGTCGCGCGCTTCGTCAGCCTCGCGATCTCCTTCGCCGGATCCACGATGCCACTCAGCGGCACGTACACCGTCACGCCGTCGCTCACGACGATCTGCACGAAAGCCGCGGGATCGCTGATCGCCGCGTCGGGCGCGACGTCCGTCACCGCGCTCGCCTCCGCGTCGAGCCTCGCGAGCGTCGACAGCAACAGAAGCTCGTCTTTGAGCGCCTTCCGCAACGCCGCGTTCGAATCCGCGTCTCCACCAGAGACGACCACGATCGCGGGGACGCGCTTCGCGGGCTCAACCGCGTACTCCGCGCGCGCGTTGCGCACCGCGCGCACCACCGCGCGCGCCGTCTCGAAGGCGGCGACGGCGTCGTCGTCGCGCGCCGCGTCCAGCGTCGGCCACGCGCGCGTCATCAGCGTCTCGCCATCGTGCGGTATGTTCCTCCACACCTCCTCCGTGACGTACGGCACGAACGGGTGCAGGAGCCGGAGCGTGCGCTCGAGGACGTATAGGATGACCGCGCGCGTTCGCCTCGCGGCGGCGGCGTCGCCAGAGTAGAGCCGGCTCTTGGCGCCCTCGATGAACCAGTCCGCGAAGTCGTCGTAGAAGAACGCGTACGCCGCGCGTCCAGCCTCGCCGAAGTCGTGCTTATCGTGCGCGGTCGTGACGTGGTCCACGGTCGCGTGGAGTCTGGACACGATCCATCGCTCCGCGAGCGGCAGAGACGCGAGGTCATTCGGCACAGTCTCCGCCTCTCGCACGAGCGCGACGCGGTCGTCGTCCGACATCCCCTCCAACGCGTACAGCAGAAACTTCCCCGCGTTCCAGATCTTGTTCGTGAAGTTGCGGTTCGACGCGAGGCGGTCCATGTTCAGGTTCAGGTCCTGTCCCGCCGCGGTCCCCGTCGCGAGCGTGAACCGCAACGCGTCGCACCCCTGCTCGTCGATCACGTTGAGCGGATCCACGACGTTACCCAACGACTTGCTCATCTTCCGGCCCTTCTCGTCCCTGACGAGGCCGTGGAGGTAGACGGTGTGGAACGGCAGCGTGTTAGTCATCCCGTACGACATCATCACCATCCGCGCGACCCAGAAGAACAGGATGTCGTGCCCCGTCTCCATGACTTGCGTCGGGAAGAATTTTTTGAAATCCGCCGCGTCTTCGTCGGGCCACCCCAACGTGCTGAACGGCCAGAGGCCGCTGGAGAACCACGTGTCGAGGACGTCCTCCTCCTGGTACAGCACGACGTTCGCGCCGTGACCCTCCGCGGTCGCCTTCGCGCGCGCGTCCGCTTCGTTACGCGCGACGACGTAGACTTTCGACGCGCCCTTACCCGAGCCGCTCCGAGCCGACTCCAACGCCTCTTCGCTCTCGTGGACGTACCACACCGGGATCCTGTGCCCCCACCACAGCTGTCGAGAGATGCACCAGTCCCTGACGTCCGTGAGCCAGCCTTTGTATATCTTCTCGAACCGCTGCGGCACGATCGTGAGCTCGCCGCTCTCCACCGCCTTCAGCGCCGGCGTCGCCATGCTCTCCATCTTGCAGAACCACTGCTCCGAGACCAAAGGCTCGATGATCTCGCCGCCGCGCTGCGACCGCGGCACTCGCGTGTCGTACGGCTCGCTCTTGATCGCCATCCCGGCCGCCTCCATGTCCGCCCAGACCTTCTCGCGGCACTCCGCGCGGTCCAGGCCCTCGTACGCGCCCGCGTTGGCGTTCATGCTCCCGTCTTTGTTCATGATGTTGATCGTCTCGAGGCCGACGCGTTTGCCGATTTCGTAGTCGTTCGGGTCGTGCCCCGGCGTGATCTTCAGCGCGCCCGTGCCGAACTCGATATCGACGTAGTCGTCGCCGATGATGGGCACGGTCCGCCCGCCGCTGAACGGCACGATCGCGCGCTTGCCGATGAACCGCTTGAAGCGTTCATCGGCGGGGTTGACCGCGACGGCGGTGTCGCCGAGCACCGTCTCCGGCCGCGTCGTCGCGACGGGTAAAAAGGCTCCAGGGTCCTCGGCGTCTGAATCGTCTTCTCCCCCTTCAACGAAGTACTTGAAGTAATACAGCGTGCCGGGCTCGTCGGAGTACTCCACCTCGAGGTCGCTCACCGCGGTCTGCAGCTTCGGCGCCCAGTTCACCATGTACGTGCCCTTGTAGATGAGTCCTCTGTCGTGGAGCGAGACGAAAGCCTCGAGCACCGCGTCGCTCAGGCCGTCGTCCAGCGTGAACCGCTCTCTGGACCAATCGCAGGACGCGCCGAGCCGTCGTATCTGCCCCGCGATGCGTCCGCCGTACTCCGCCTTCCACTCCCACGTCCGCTTCTCGAACGCGTCGCGGCCGATCCCCATCCGCGTTTTGCCCTCCGCCTCGAGCGCGCGCTCCACAACGAGCTGAGGGTCGGGGGGCGGTCCGACCGACGTGGGGGTGGAGTTGAAAGGCGTCAGGTGGGGTCGAAAGGCGTCGATGGCGGGGACTGAAAGCGAGGGGTGGGCGGAGAGAAACGCCGGGCAAAGTCCTTAAGTAACGGCGTTCACCACGCGAACGCGGTCGTGTGGGGACCAGTGTGAGGAGGACGCGCCTGCGTCGCGATGCCCGCGTGGTCCGTGCCCGGGAGCCACAGCGTCGGCCGCCCGCGCATCCGCGCGTTCCTCGCCATGATGTCCTGCAGCGTCACGAACATCGCGTGGCCCATGTGCAGCGCGCCGGTGACGTTCGGCGGCGGCATCGCGATCGTGAACGGCTCGCCGACGGCGTCGTCGGAGGGCTTAAAGCATCCGTGCGACTCCCACCACTCGTACAGGCGCTCCTCCGTCGCGCCGTGCTCGAAGTTTTTCGGGAGGTCCGCGTGGTTCGCCCCCGGGGAGATTACGCCGGCGGGTGGGGAGGAGGAGGAGGAAGAGACCGAGGACGCGCTGCGGACGATCGCGGCGCGGCGCGAGCGGTGGAGGAGGCGGAGACGATGATGATGATGCGGTCCCGGCGTCGAGGGCCTCGGGCGGCGCGGCTGGAGGAGCGCGCCGTGGGGCGCGGGCGACGCGCGCGACGCGAGCGTCGCGCGCGAGGACGCGCGCGCGAAGACCGCGTTCGGGGTGACCCCGCATCGCGGCCGGAGCGCCATCGCGATCGCGGGCCGGAGCATGCGTGCGTCGAGCGCGCCGGCTCGAGTGACGTCGCGTGCGACCACCAAGGCCCTTTTCCGATAACCCTGAGATGGATGCTGAAGCGCTCAGGTAGGGCGATTCCGCGACCGTTCATCGGTTCATCGGTCAATTGAAAGAGTATGTGATCAAACGTTGAACCTGGAGGGTGGGTGAACTTGATCGGACGTTTTTCGCTGATGATTTCGTTTCGCAAATTCGCTCGCGATATCATATCACTCGAAATATCACATGCGAGCGGGGAAATCGTCTGACGCCAGGGGACGACGCGCGCGAGCGACGCGCACGCCGTTCATCGCTCGAGAACCCGCGCTGGCTCGGTCGAAGACGGCGTAGCGAGCGGGTTTTCTGAGCGCGCGCGCGCCGACGCGAGGTACGGCGGCGGCGGCGGACGCGCGACGAGACGGAGGGGCGTTCAATTCGAGTCGGCAGCGCGATCATAAGTACAGCTGTAGACTGGTGAATTGCGCCCTCCGCTGGAATCTCCTTCGAACGCGACCACGATGGGGACGCCCGCGGTCGACGCCACCGCGCTCCTCGCCGCGGCCGCGCGCGGCAACGTCGCCAGCGTGCGCCTCGTCCTCGACGCCGGCGCGAGCGAGGGGCTGACCGTGCGCTCGCGGAACGCGCGCGGGGACACCGCGCTGCACGAGGCGACGCGACGATCGCATTGGCCGCTCGTGACCTGGCTCATCGCACACGGCGCGGACGCGGAGGCGACAAACGCGGACGGCGCGACGCCGCTGGACGTGTGCGAGGACGACGAGGTGGCGAGGGAGACGTACGCGGCGATCATGCGCGGGTCGCCGCTGACGAGAGGCGCGGGCGAGCGCGCGGCCGCGCAGGCGGAGTCCGAGGCGTCGTTTCGAAGACTGGCGGCGGAGCGACCGGGACCGGGACCGGGACCGGGAACCGAGACCGCGCGCGGCGGCGAGCCGACGCCGAAGGAGCTCGCGAACGGCGCGACGACGACGACGCCGATGGGCGGCGCGTCGCCGTCGATGGTCGAGGAGACGGTTCGAAGGGCGAGGGAGTTTCGCGCGCGCGCGAATTTCGCGCGTGGTCATCATCAATTCTCGACGACGTCGTCGGCGGCGGCGACGCCGGCCGCGGGAGGGCTTGCGACGACGTCGCGCGAGTCCGCGCTCGAGCGCGAGCTCTTCGAGACGAGAGCGCTCCTGGAAAACTACTCGAACGAGCTCGAGAACGCGCGGAACGTCGAGTCCGCGCTGCACGAGCGCGTCCTCGAAGAGGGCCTCCAGATGGACCGCCCGGGAGGATTTGGATTTCATAGCGCTCGCGCGCCTCGCGTCCCCGGGGCGGATTACAGCCAGACCGCCGCGGTCGCGGCGTCGCTCAGAGAACAGCTCGCGGCCGCGAACGAGGCGCTCGAGAAGCTCAAGGCGGAGACGTTCGGGGGCGAGGGCGGGACGGCCGCGAAGTTTGGCGAATTTGGCGACGAGGACGTCGTGGAGATTCCGAAAAAACTTCTGAGAGAGACGGAGGACGTGATCCTCCGGAAGACGAAGGAGGTGGAGGACGCGCGGCGGGAGATTCGGGAGATGGAGCGAAGAGCCGCGCGATCTGGGCGCGCGCTCCGAAGGCTCGCGAGCGTCCTCATCGAGGGCGAGGACGCGATGGACGACGACGCGGACGACTACCGTCGCGTCGGCGGCGGGAAAAAAGACGGCGACGACGACGACGACGACGGCGGCGACGGCGACGACGACGACGACGCGTCCTCGGTGGTGAACGAAAAGTACGCGGACTACCTCGAGAGCCTCGGCGCGAAGAGCGTCCTGTTCACCCCGGAGAAATCCCCGCGAGCGGGAGTCTCGGGAGCGGGACGGCGCTTCAAGACGGACGGACGCCCGAGGACCACGCGGTCGCGCCCCGCGATGGTCGCGTCCCGCCGCCCGCGCGCGCCCATCGCCGACGTCCCCGGCCTGCGCCTCGTCCTCGGCGCGCTCGCGGAGCGCGCGGAGCGAGACGACGCCCCGGAGTCGCACCCGTGGAGCACCGCGGCGGCGGCGGCGCACATGGACGGCGACGCGCTCGTGGACGCGGTCGCGGTGCTCGCGGCTGAGGCGCGTTGAACTTCTTACACTGGTCCCCGTACGACCCCGTCCGCGTGGTGAACGCCGATCCTTAAGGACTTTCTCTCCCGGCGGGCGTTTCTCTCCGCGCACCCCTCGCTTTCAATCCCGACGCAAACACCTCGGCGCCTTTCAACTCCGCTTCTGACGCCTTTCAACTCCACCCCGTCGTTCGTCGCTTCGCGCGGACTCTCCCTCGACCCTCAGGCGCACGACCGCGGCGTGAAACTCGACGAGTCCAACGCGGCGCGGCGAGAGGCGGAGAAGGAGGCGCTCGCCGCGCGGCTCGCGATCGCGGACGTCGCGGACGACAGCGAGGACAAGAGCAGGGTCGTCGTCGCGATGAACGAGAAGTGCGAGAAGCTGCGGCGGAGGGCGGAGGTCGCGGAGCGGGACGCGCGGACCGCGACGGAGAGCGTCGACGCGTTGAAAAAGTCGCTCGACGACGCGCGCGGCGAGCTCGCGACCGCGACCGCGGACTTCGCGCGCGATACGGCGCGCCTGGAGGAGAAGCTGAAGAAGTCGATGGACGACGCGAAACGCGATAAGGAGACGCTCACGACGGAGGCCAAAGCCGCGGAAGAGAAGCTTGAGGAGAAGCTGAAGCGCGCGTCCGACGACGCGAAACGCGCGGAGGAGACGCTTCGAACGGAGGCCAAGGCGCGGAGAGAGGCGGAGATCGCGCTCAGGGCGCGCGAGCTCGACGTCGACGACGCGAAGCGCGCGGTGGAGAGCAGCGCGTTCGAGGCCCAGCGACGCCGCGAGACGGACGCGCGGCGCGAGGAGAAGCTCAAGCTGGAGGTGGATGAGCTCCGCGAGCAGGCGGACGCGCTTCGCGGCAAGCTCCGCGACGCCGACGGCGAGGCGAGAGACGCGAGCGTCGGCGCGCGAACCGAGGCTGAGCGCGCGAACGCCGCGGAGGCGGAGATTGCCGCGACGCGCGCGAGCCTCGAGCGCGCGCGATCAGACGCGACGGAGGCGAGGTCCGTCGCGAACGCCAAGACGCGCGAGATGGAGGCGCTCGCGACGGAGGTGACGCGCCTCGAGCGCGACCTGTCGAAACTCGCGGCGGAGCACGAGCGGAACGTGATCGAGACATTGGACGTCGTCGCGGAGCGCGACGCGATGATTCGCGACTGGGACGCGGACGCGGAGAACCGACGTGACTTGCAGCGAAGACGGACACAGCTCGCGGAGAAGTTGGTCGAGATGGAGACCGTGGACGAGGCGCACCGCGAGCGGAAGCTCGCGAAGATTATCCTGCGTTTTACGGGCGCGAGGCAGCTCCGAGCGTTGAACCAATGGCGCGGCGTCGCGCGTCGCGAGCGTCGGCTCCGATGGCAGGTCTCGCGCGTCTTGGGGAAGATGCGACACCGGCGGCTCGCGGCGGCGTGCGCGATGTGGAGGGAGCTCGCCGAGGTGGCGATCGCGGCGAGAGACGCGGCGGCGCGAGAGGAGGCGCGGCTGGAACGCGTCTCGCGCCGCGCGATTCAAAAGATGCGCTCGCGGACGGCGACGACGGCGTTTTCGCGCTGGAGGCTCGAGGCGAGGGAACGCCACAGGGCGCGAGGGCAGATGAAGAAGTTCATATGGCGGTGGCACCGCGCGAAGAAGCGCGCGGCGTTTAACAAGTGGGCGACGATCGCGAGCGCGTCCAAACGGGACGCGTTGAATGCGTTTATTCACCAAAAGGACGAGGAGCTCGTCGAGCACAAAAAGCTCACCGCGGAGGAAGTCAAGGCGACGAAACAGAAAGCCGCGGAGGCGCGCGAAAAAGCGCAAGCCGCGGAGAGAGAGCTCGCGGCGAATCGCGCGGACTTGCAACGAAGACGCGCGCAGCTCGCGGAGACGATGAAGAGCATGGAGAAGAAGGACGAGACGCATCGCGAGCGAAAGCTCGGGCGAATCCTCCTTAGATTCACCGCGTCCAAGGCGGTCAGGGCACTGAACAAGTGGCGAGGCGTGAGCCGCCGAGAAAAGCGGCTGCGGTGGCAGGTCACGCGGACGGTGGGTCGACTCCTGCACCGCGCGCTCGCGGAGGCGTTCGCGCGGTGGAGGGTCGAAACCCACGAGTCGACGCGCGCGAAGCTCGAGGCTGCGCGCGCGGAGGCCAAGCGAGAGATGCTCGTGCGTCGGACGATCGCGCGGATGAATTTACGCGCCGCGACGGCGGCGTTCGCGCGGTGGAAACACGAAGCGCGGTCGAACCACCGGAATCGCGCGGAGATGAAGAAGTTTGTGTGGAGGATGACGCGCGCGAAGAAGGCGGCGGCGTTTCGGTCGTGGCGGTGGCGTCTCGCGGAGAAGCGGCGGATGGCGCTTCTCCTCGCCAGAGCGCTCGGGAAGATGTCCGGCCGCGTCGTGGACGGCGCCTTTATGCGCTGGCGCGAGGTGTGCGCCGAGCGCGAGCGCGTCCGGCGCGTGATGGCGAAGATCGCGGGGAGACTCGCGCACGGCGCCGCCGCCGCCGCGTTCAACACGTGGCGCGACGTGACGTCGGAGCGCGAACGCGTCCGCGGCGCGCTGCGTAAAATCACCGCGCGGCTTCAAAATCTCGGGCTCGCGTCCGCGTTCGCCACGTGGCACGAGCGCGTCGCCGAGCGCGCTCGCATGCGCGGCGCGATGGCGAAGACTCTGGCGCGTTTCCGAGGGCGCGCGACCGCGGCGGCGTTCGAGACGTGGAAGGCGGCGACGTCGGACGAGCGGCGGTCGAGGGAGACGTTGCGACGCGCGGCGCAGAAAATCGCCGGCCGCGCCGTCGCCGCCGCTTTCGCGACCTGGGTCGACGCGTGGGAAGAGACGCGACGGTTGAAGGGTGTCATGAAGAACGTCGCGAGCCGGTTCGCGAATCGCAGGCTCGCGACCGCGTTCGAGCGCTGGGCCGAGGTTGTCTTCGACGCGATCGACGAGGAGGCGCGTCGGATGGCGATTCTCGGGAAAGCCGTCGCGAGGTGCGTTCTATACACTGGTTCCCATACGACCCCGTCGGCGTGGTGAACGCCGATCCTTAAGGACTTTTCCAGGCGCATCTCTCCGCCCACCCCACGCTTTCAATCCCCGCCCTCGACGCCTTTCAACTCCAACTGACGCCTTTGAACTCCACCCCGACTTCGCTTTGTATGGACCCTCGACCCTCAGAATGACGCGGCTGCGGCTGTCGGGCGCGTTCGACCGCTGGAACGAGGTCGCGTCCGAGCTCCGACGCCTCGCCGGGCTGTTACGGAAAGGCGTCGGGAGGATGCGGTACCGGAAGTTGTCGCGCGCGTTCGTCCAGTGGCGCGGGCTCGTCGTGGAGCTTCGCGACGAGCGCGAGCGCGAGAAGGAGGAGGCGCGTCGTCGAGAAGCGCTCTGTCGAAAAGTCGCGTCGAGGCTGCGATGTCGCAAAGTCGCGCTCGCGTTCGAGAAGTGGTGGCAGGTTCTCGACGACGCCAAGCGCCACAAGGACGCGTCGGAGCGCGCGGCGTTCGAACGACGGCGCCGGGATCTGGAGGAGGAGCTCAAGCGCGGCGTCGCGACGTCCTTCTCGCACGGACAGCTCACCGAGAGGGTGTCGCTGCTGAGTCGGGAGCTCGAGACGCTTCGCGCGCGCGCCGACGCCGCGGAGGCGGCGTCGCGGGAAAAGTCGCGGCAGCTCGCGAGCGTGCGCGCAAAGTCCACGAGAGACGCGGAGCGCGCGGTGGGGGCGGCGCAGGCCAAGGCGGACGCGGAGAGAACGTCGTGGGCGGAGACGGAGCGGACGCTGCGCGAGGAGCTCGCGCGTTTTAAATTCGCCGCGGAGAGTTTGACGACGGCGAAGCGCGAGCTCGACGCGGCGCACGCGGTCGCGAGGGACGAGGCGAAGAAGGCGACCAGGGAGCTCAAGTGGGTGAAGGAGGAGTGGAGCAAGGACACGGAGATGGCGCGCGCGACGCTCGCGGCGCAGGCGAACGCGAGGAAGGCGAAGGCGCGCGCGCGGAAAGAGTCAGAGAAGAAGCTTAGGGAGACGATCGCGAGCGCGCGGTCGGATCGCAAAGCGCTGCAGCTCGCGCTAGAGAAGCTCAACGACGAGAAAAAGTCGATCGCGCTCGAGCTGGAGAAAAAAACGCTCGATCTTCGAGCGTTTGAAGCGAAAACGAAAGAGCTCGAGGCGCAGAACAAGGCGAAGCAGACCGCGCACGACGAGAAGGAAGCCGCGGTGAAGAGGGCGTTTCAAGCCGCGGCGGAAAACTCCAAGCTCGCGAGCGAAGTCCGCGAGCTGCACATGCAACTCCAAGCGATCGACGCGATGACGCCGGACAAGAACAAGAGCAAAACATCTGCCGCGTCTCCGACGCCGAAGCAGCTCGGCGACGCCGCCGCCCCGGACGAGCGGTCGGTCGTCATACGCCACCTGAGGGAGGAGCTCAACGCCGCCGCCGTCGCCGTCGACCGCGCCGTGTCGGAAAAAACCGCGCTCGCGAACAAAGTGTCGGAACTCACGAAAGAGCTCAACGACGTCACCATCGAGGCGGAGGCGATCGCGCACGGGACGACGACGATGAAGCGAAGCTTCGAGGAGCGCGCGAAGAGCGCGCGCGAAGACCTCGAGAACGTCGCGGCGGTCGCGGCGAGCGAGCGCGAGCGCGCCGCCGCGCTCGACGCGACGTGCGCGGAGCTACGAGAACACGTCGCGACGACCGAGTCGGAGCGCGACGCCGCGGTGACCGCGCTCGCGGCGACGCGCGGCGACGTCGACGATAAGACCGCGCTGTCGTCGAAGCTCGTGAAGGACTTGCGGGCGGCGACCGCGGAGCGAGGGAAGCTCGAACGTCGCGCGAGAGAGGCGGAGGCGGCGCGCGACGCGCTCGCCGAGGCGCACGCGGCGGCGACGGCGGAGCTCGACGCGCGCAGAGCGGAAGCGGAAGCGGCGAGGCCCGGGGTGAACCGCGCCGCGGATGCGCGGACGATGATGCTGCGATGGGCGCTCGCGTCGACGAAGACGAAGCTGTCGCACGCGAGAGAGAAGCTGTCGCACGCGACGGGAGAGCTGAAGCGCGCGAGGAAGGACGTCGTCGCCGCCAAGGCCAAGGCGGACAAAGCCGCGGCGAAAGAGGCGGAGCACAAGATCGCGTGCGAGGGCGCGCGCGCGGAGCGCGACGCCGCGGAGGCGGACATCGCGAGCGCGAACGCCGCGCTCGCCAAGTCGCAAGCGCGCGCGTCGGCGGCGTTCGCGACCGTCTCCAAGCTACGCGTGAAAGTGGCGAGCGCGGCGGAGAGCGTGGACGACGCCGCGCGCGCGCGAGACGTCGCCGTCGCCGCGCTGGGCGGGGGGAGCGGTGGGAGCGCGAGTGCTCGCGATACTCGGTCGCGATCCTCCGTCGCCGCTTCGACGGCGACGACGTCGCCGCGAGGCGTCGCGCCGTCCCCGCGCGCGGTTCTCGTCGACTACGCGACGTCCGCGGGGATGACGAGGACGACTTCGACGGCGGCGGCGGGAGGGATGGACGCCAAGATCCTCCGCGCGAAGCTCGAGACCGCGCGCGCGGTCAACGACGCCCTGCTCGATCGCGTCGTCGAGGTCGAGACGCACGCGCGGGAGTACCAGGCCGACGCGGTCGCGGCGGCGATGGAAGGGAACGCCGCGCGACGCGCTGCGGCTGCGGCGGAGGCTGAGGGGAAAATCGCGCGCGCGCACATCGCCGCGCTCGTCGCCCGCGTCGCGGACGCGGAAGCCGCGAAAGCGAAAGCGGAGGAGGACGACCTCGACGCGTTCTTCGAGGTGGGCGACGCGTCGCTGAAGGTGGCGGTCGCGTACGCGCGGAGCGCCGCGGCGCGCGATCTGTACATGAAAGCCGCGGAGCTCGCCGACGACGACGCCGCCGCCGACGCCTCGAAGCCAGCCCTCCCCGCGCGCCGCCCGAGCGTCTCCCTCCCCATCGCCGCGTCCGTGATGGAGACCGCGGCGCTGCGCGCGGAGATCAAGGCGCTGCGAGGCCTCCTCGCCGCGTCTCGCGCCGCGGCGAAGCGCGCCGCGGGGAGCGAACGCGCGGCTGAGAAAAAAGCCGGCGACGCGTTGCCCGCGCTGGAGATCGCCAACGCCACCGCGGCGGCCGCGACGACGCGCGCGGAGACGCTCGGCGCGCGCGTCATCGAGGTCGAGTCCCTGTGCGCCTCCGCGTCGGCCGCGCGCCTGGACGCCTGCGCGACCGCGGCGGCGCAGCAGCGCCGCGCCGATGCGTCGGAAGCGGCGGCGAAGAAGCTCGAAGATGCGATTCGCGACGTCGACGGCGACGGCGTCGAGGACGACATCGACGAGCTCCCGGCGCGGACGCTCCGCGCGAGGCTTCTCGTGTCTCGCGCGATGCTCTCGCACGCCAAGGCGCACGCGAGCGAGCGCGCGGTTCGCGCGGAGACGGCGAAGCGGCGGGTGAAGGACGCGGAGGCGCGCGCGGCGGCGGCGTTTACGGCGGCGACGCGAACAAAGTTGGACCTCGAGGCGCGTTCTATCTCACACTGGTCCCCATACGACCGCGTTCGCGTGGTGAACGCCGATCCTTAAGGACTTTTCCTGGCGCATCTCTCCGCCCACCCCTCGCTTTCGATCACCGCCCTCGACGCCTTTCAACTCCGCTTCTGACGCCTATGAACTCCACCCCGACGTCGCTTTGTATGGAATGACCTCCAGGCGTCGAGGGCGTCCGCGGCTGCGCTGTCGGGGCTCATGTCCGTCGCGTTCGAGCGCGCGCGAGACGCGGTCGTCGTCGCGAGCGAGGCGACGCGCCGCACGACTCGAACCCGGCCGCGGCGCTGCCGGTGTTTTTCTCCGCGTTGATCATGTCGTAAATCAGCTTCGGGTGGTTGCACAGTTTTTTCAACGCCGTGATCGCGGCGAGCACCATCGTGCTCTTCCCGGTCAACGCCGCCTTCGCCGCCTTGGAGTCCAAAAAGTGCTGATACAGCTGCTGCTGCAGCGGCGACAGCTTGCAGCACACGACCTCGACGACTTTCGGGGGTAAGTGTTTCGACAGGATGGTGTTCGTGCGTCGGAGCACGAATTTGTTCACGAGCTCGCTGAGCTCGGCGTTGCGCTCCTGCGCGAGCGCGAGCTGTTTCTCCGTCGCGTCCGGCTCTCTTCCGTCCAGAATCGGCTTCTCGTAGTGCTTGTGGAACTCCGCGGTCGTCCCCAACAACCCCGGGTTACAAAAGTTCACCATGCTGTAGAACTCGTCCAGGTGATTCTGCATCGGCGTCCCCGACAGCATCACTCGCCGCCGACACGGCACCGACTGCAGCGCCTTATTCGTCAGCGTGTCCCCGTCTTCAGC